CCCCCCCCCCATTCAAATCCTCTTTACTCTGGGAGAGAAGACAGCCACCTTTTCTCTATTGTTTCACAGGCCGTCTTGACCATGTTGGTAACGGTTTCGATGTGGCCGAGCCCGAAAACATTGTAGTGGTGGGTTGGGATGTCCAAAACTTGACAGAACCAGTCTTTGCAATAGTTGTCCCAGCCTAGTCGTCGATCTTGGCGGTAGAGGTCGACGTAAAGTATGCCGTCATCTGGGGTGGGAACTTGGTCCCGGCAGCGGATAAGTACGGCCGGAGGCGTACGGAAGACGGGAACGGACCACTCACGTACCATTCGGTACGCCTCCTTGAAGCACCTTTCCACACAAATTTTCGTCGCCCTTGTCGTTGTTGCAGGCCACTCGATGCGACGCTCGGCCAACCGCATTCCTGGGACACTCCAACCCGCCTTGGGTGGCAGCGGGTAAACGCTGTCGACAAGAACAAGGCCTGCCACACTCACGTCGGGGTATGACTGGGATAGAACATGAGCGGTCTCGAGGGCCAGGAGCCCCCCCAACGACCATCCACCGAGAATGACAGGCCCAGATAGGATGGCAGACGCAACAAGGCCAGCATAGATTGTTGCCATTTCGCGTAGACCCCCAGCCCAGGGAATCCCGGACTTGAACCGTGGGTTGGCGATACCTAGGAGCTTTCGATCGATGTTGTCAAGGATGTAATAGCTAAAAATAGTGCCGCTGCCATCGTGGATCAAAATCAGAGGTATAGCATTGCGTTGCCGCAAGTCATCTTGGATGAGGTTTGGATTGGAATCGACCATGGTTACTGCGGTATGTCTGTGTCGTGACGCAGTTTGTATCAATAGCTGTTCTTCCAGCCCTCGTCCAGCGCAGGTGATATTTCCAAGAATCATGAAGCGAATGGCCCACTGCCATAAGTAGGATATGAGAATCGCAGGGTCCCCACATAATGATTATGTAACACAAGGCTGTAACTTGGCTACCTAACCGTGTAATGGCTCCAACAAACATGAAAAAACGTAACTCAATATGGCCTCTGGTTTGCCAATGCACCCGTACAAATATAGTCATGACGTAAGTATTTCAAGATTTCAGGCCTCGCAAAACATCAATAACAACAAGAAAATATTAGCGGTGGTTAGATAAGTAGTCATGATAATAATTTCCCTTTTAAACCGGGTAGTAATAAATAAAGGTATACTAGTACGAGATACGTAAATGTTAATCGGTTAAAGAGGGCTTCTCGGAAGCCGTATACAGCTTCGAGAAAGAGGACGGGAGGAGGGTTGCAAGGGAGAGTTAAAGGCTATTGTTGATGATAATATTTTGAAAGGGCTTAAAATGCTCATGTTAATTGTTTGCAAGGGTGCGGTGGCCAATCAGAGGCTGTGGTGAGCTTACAAAAATTCTTCTGGTTTTTGTCATTTGATCAATTAGGGGCATCAACGGCAACGGGGCCACCGAGGTCAAGCACCCAAACGACGTTCTGGTATTTCGACTAATACAATGATTCACATTCGTTAACATGCATGGTTTTGACCTGGAATATTTCGCGCGGTATTGGGGGGTAGCGCGGCGTACTGCGAGGTGTCGTGTGCGGAAGAGAAACAAAGTTCGAGCAAAAGAGCAGAATATGCCACGTACTCACACCGACTCCCAGTCCATGGTCTCGACCATGACGCCCCATTCTTCTTCCTCACTGATACCGATATCTATACTAATCATCGTGCCACTATCTGTTTCGTAAGTCTTGCTTCGATTATTCGTAATAACAGAAATAAGCATTGCGGGTTTGACGGCACGTTGCTGCGTGCCATCATTGTTTATTCTTAAGAAATAGCATCACCACCGCCACCTCGTAGGTTCATGCTACCAGTAAGCAAACCATACAAAGTACAATCGAGATACTACGAGTTGAAAGCTCTCACACAGGTAGTATTGTTAGGATTCTTAACTCTCGCCTTGGGGTCCCTTTGTGTGACATCAATTAATTCCCTCGGCAACGTGAGCGATAAGCCTGGTGAAATGCACTAATATAAAAGTAATAGCAGCCTGTGCCCCACAAACATAATATGCGGGGGTTTAAAGGCGAAGTCACAGTTCAGTTGAGTATTATTCACGGAATAAAGATATGTGAGAGCGTATGGGCAAACGGATAACTGGCTACAAGTTAAACTTCGTTGAAATAAGATACAATATATCACAGTGCCTCATAAGCAAGACTCTGCTCACAACGGGCTAGGCAGGTCACGGATACTGCCCGCACTTCCACTGCCACTGTGAACGCTGCTCCCAGATCCAGAACCGGAGGCAGAACCAGAGCTGCCTTGGTCTTGAGTTAGTTCGAAAGGCGGTGGGCCTCGGATTGTCCCAGCTTGCGAAGTCTGCCCAGAAAACGTACTCGAAGAGACGAACACGTCGGTGCTATGTGAACCGCCAGTGGTAACACCTCCGATATGTGCAGCCGTATTATCGTCATCCGCAGTGCTAGACTGGGTGAAACCAGAAACATCGCTCAGCATCGAAGATGACCGGCCACGCATCCGAAGTATTGGCGGCATGGGAGTGGCTGCCAGTTGTTGATTGCGTATAAAAGGTGCAACAGGCGCTGCACTGACCGTAATGGGCGAAACTCCCGAGGTGGCTACTGTCGGTATGGCGGACCATGGGGTCTGAGGGACATGCAAGGAACTTGATTGCACATGTGGTGTTGGCCAAGCCCCTCGGGCCGATGTTGGTGCACCGCTATTCGTAGCCTGAAGTATATGGGCAGTTCCGACAGCATATCGGTTCTCGTAAGGCCGCTCGCTGTCAAAAGAAGAATAAAATGAGCGCATTGTCTCGTGTAGTATTTCAATTGCATGCACCTTTTCCTCGTTCGCATTCTGCGCAGCGACAAGGCGTTCCACGTAACTCTGGTGAGACCTCGCAATCTCAGTCTCGATATTGACGCGCTCCTGGCGACGGCGCTCGGCCTCGTCAAGGCCACGGGCGTTGGCATCCATGATTTGCGCATGCTCACTGTCGGCCTTGGCGATGCGAGAAGCTATCTTGTTTCGCTTGGCTTGGAAAGTGGCATGGTCGTCTTCCAGCGACTGAATCTCGCTGTCAACGGAGCTCTTGAAGCTTTTAAATGACGCCATGACGCCGTCGAACTGAGCCTTTTCACGGTCCCATTCGCTTTTCTTGTTACGGTATTGGCCGAGGATTTCTTCAGGAACGGTGCTAATGTCCTTGAGCTCAGCCTCAATGACCTCAATTGCTTGTTCCGCCTGTTTCTGTTGAACTGAATTTTGAGTGATTTTTTGTTTAAATTTGTCATCATTTCCGCCTGCAGACTGAACGGAGGCAGTCAATCGGTCAATTTCCTTTTTCAGCGCATTGGCACGGCGATTGTTGTCCCTGCGAAGTGTCTTGAACCTTGTTTTCTCATCGTTCAGCTTGGCTTCCTGGGTCGTAATAGATGCTTTGATAGTCGTGGCAGGTGACTCGTGTGGGCGCAGTTGACTTGGCGGCGCTGGTTTTGCAGCCGCAATAGCCGTACTTTTAGAAGGGGCGGCAGCAGTCCTGACGCTGGTGCTGAAAAGTACTTCGCCAGAACGAGTACTGACGAATTCGCACTCGTAACTAGAGAGAGGGGTGAGGCCATAAATGTCACCAGTCCAGCGGGTTGTGGTGTCATTTGAAAGATCCCACTTGGTGTCGTCTGCTGGGTCCGTCGGATTCTCACCCTGGCCCTCAACGATAGGAATAATGCGTGTCGGCTGCCACGTGGCGTTATTTATGCGAACATAAAATGGTTTGGTGGTGTCAATGAAAAATGAGTTTGACTGTGCCAGTGCACCAGACATCTCTTGATCTTTGTCTTCACTGGGAAAGGCGCTGGTACTGAAGCATACTTCGTCGTGTCCAACATAACACACCCAAATCTGACCTGGTTGTGCGTAAAAGGGAGCATTTCCGAGGTTATCTACATCGGTTGCCTCCGCTCCAGCGGACTCGGACGCCGCCTGCGACAGTTCATACTCCTTGATCATGACAATCTTTGTGCTAGCCAAAGCCGCCCATAAGGGCTGGCGCAGGCGGACGAGCGCACTTTGTTTTTTCTTTTTCTTCGAAGAAATGTGAGTTGTCGGAATCGAGGCCATTGTGGTATTACCGGTCATCCCGGGGGCAGACGCGCTGTCTGCATCCATAGTAATAAACCCTGTGTTGGCAGACGGTGTAACGCTATTTGGCCCAACCGTGCTAGATGGTCCCATGCTGTGGTTGACCGAGTCGGTAATTGTAATATTACCAGACATGCCAGTATGACCATCAGCGTCTGCAGCACCAGAAGGCGTACCTTCCATGGATATATCATGTAAGCACATGGCCCTTCCGGTCTCAGGATCCGATTGATAGTTAGACATGGAGTCTCGTTTCTCCCGCCGAAGATACCACTCCCTAATGTAGCGCACGATGCCCTGCATGAGGATATGGATTGCGAACACATTTCGGACCCACGAGGCACCACCCACACGACGAGCGAAAGACCTGGACGATTGGTGGACCGAGATATGAAGGTCAGCAAAGGCAGATGAATGGTCGGCAGTGAGGTTTTCCAGGCTGGTAATATGACTGAAGTGGGTAAAAATAACAATGCCCAAGCAAACAAATATGTTGTTAGTGGAGCCTTGGCGAGAGCTGCTGTTGTTGTAACCACCTCCTAGTGTGAGTGCGATAACAACCTGCGCAAAATCAAGGATAAGGAGTTGCAGTGGGCCCCAGAGAAAGAGCCAGACAAGTAGGATGCCAACATCCATACATATAATAGTGGTGAAAGCCGGCGTACCGAGACCACCCTCGAATATTTCTGTCAGGCTCAAGCCGGAGCTAGACGTGACAGGAGGGACGAAGGTGAGAACGGTAAACAGCATGTAGACGACCGATAGAACCACGGGCGAAAGCTGCATGAGAATGATGAGAATGGCTATAGTGTCATACAGCGGACAGGAGCGGAGAATTGTTATTGCAAGGTCGAGAGGCCCGGTGTCACGGTGGACGTTGGCGTTCTTGGTAGCATTGACATCAATGCGGCGGTACGACTCTTCAAACGATACAGCGGATGGTGCAGGTACACCTGAGACATCGTTTGACGTCGCAAGTGTGTGGGGGACAGCTAGAGAGTCCGAAGAAGAGTGCGGCTGAGAAACGTCGACATTCGGCAGATGGCGGTCGGACACGTGCGAGCGGCGGGAGCCAGTCGATGTTACCAGAGAGGGATCGGACTTGCGGTGGCGCTGCTGCCCGTGGTAGGCTGCAGGTGAGGAAGACGCCATCGTGTCCGTACCACGGGTGCAACCGTTAGCCACGGCAGCGGCGGCCACGGTAGCAAAAAGTGTTGGTGGGGACGGAGCACCAGCGGCCACGGCCGGAGGATGAGACGGGATGGTGAGGACAGAGTTGCCAGAAGATGGCGACGATCGGGCTACGGCATCGCCGCCAACAAGCGGCAGGCCGTGAGAGGGCTTTTGCTGGTATTTGGTTGTGCGCTTCCCATGACTTCCAACACCGCTCTCGTTGTGGTTGTCGCGCTGGTTGGCCGCACCCGGCTGTCGCTTGGCCAAGGGCGACGCGCGAGTCATACAAGAAAACCCGACCCAGAAGTTGATTTCTGAGCCAGTATGACGGACGAGGGCGGTCAACGGGATGAAACGAAAGTATCGTCGACGGGTGTATTAGATGGTCTGCTGAATGACGGCGGCGTCGATGCGGAGACCACAGTTGGGAAACGAAGCACGCAACGGTGCAGATCGCCCGACCCGTCAACTTGGTCAAGTGTGGCGTTTTGAAAGATTCAACGATAAATCGTGGTAGGAGTGGACGGAGGTGGAAGACGCGGTTTGTGTTGGTTGGTGTGCAGTAAGCGATGTACGGCTGGGGAGAAATAGATGTTGTCAGGTGTTCCCATTGGTAGAGGAAGAAGAAGAAATTCATAGGTGGGAAAGGAAAAGAAAGGCGGCAGAGTTTGGCAAACCAAAGCTAAGTCTAGTGCAGATTCTGACCGTGCGCCTACGATGGTGGCGGGCGGTTTCCACTCCAGATAAGGGGCAGAGGTGGGGTGGGAATGCAAAGCACAGGTTCTCCGTACTCCAAAACAACACTCGTTATGGGAGTTATAGAGTAATACAGAATACTCGTACAACATACTACTCCTCCGTCTTAACACAGTACAGTGCATCCATAATATGCACTGTGTAACGACGGCTGGCAAAATATGGGAAACGACCTATAAATTAAAAGATGGGGGAGGTGAGAATAGTGGGGCGCCAGTGGGTGTTTGACGAACGTGGGACGTGCGGAGACGACACATTACTGCGTATCTCTTGCAATTATCCCAAAGCTCCCATTCACAGCTTACCAAAATAACGCTTCCGATGCACCAACAAGCGCCGGTGAGACAAGGCTGGAAAGCCGCCCAGTAGCGATGCCCTCTGTGTAATTGAGACTGTATTTGGCTTGCTGTTGGATAATAACTTTATTTTTACCACTTTTCACCTCCCCTCTCTTCAGTTTCAGGGACTAGAATCACTTTTCTGGGATGCTGCTGTGCACACTCTCTCAGGGAACACACTCCTCTCATGCTTCCATCATGTTCCAACGCTCCCAATATCCTCTACAGCTTCCTCACGGTCCCATGTTTGCTTCTCTAGTCGCTCCACAGCGGCCACTAGCTCCCAAATCCGAATACGCGCCAGAGTCGCCTCATGCAGTTGCTGCTGCCAGAGGTCGGTCAGCACCTCCCGCATGAACTCAGGCATTTGTGTCTTGGATGCCGTTCTGTAGTCATAAAACGACACATCCTCGTAGACGCGTGCTGCAATGCGCTTGTGGCTGTGCGAGAGAACCAAGCAGTCGAGCAGCAACGACGTCGACTTGGGGTTCGCTTCGGGCGACACTCGCAGCCGGTGATACACCGAGATGGCATCCGGGAAAGTCATGGGCTTCAATGGTTTAACTGTCAGCATGTGTTGAATCAACAAGTCCAAGGTTAGTTAGTAACGGCTGAGCGTAGCAGGCTTACAAACTTGAACTCCGTTGTCAAGCTCTTCATGATTAGACCGACTGTCTGGGCTTGCATTAGGCCCAACCACTGATCGCTGTGCGCCGCGTCGACGTGAAGGGCAATGTGGTTGACCCAGTTGACCCTGGAAGACTCAGCGTAGCGTGCGTACACGACATTGTTCACGTGGGCCTATGTTCCTCCTGTCAGTGATTGAAATGGCATCTGGCCAATTTGCTGCCGAGAAGCAACCACACCTGGAGATCACGTACAAATGAGTCCATTTCGCCCCAAACCACCTTTTGGCCTTCCAAACCTCGCCGTTCACCGGTCAGATAACCCTCACTGCCGGCTATGAGCCGTCGCCACTCGGTCGCTAGAGCCCGAGCCACCATGGCGGCCTCGGAGACTTGTGCTGTTGAGCAACCAAACATAATGCATTTCCCAACGCGGTGGCGAAGGTCCGCCAGCCACCGCGCCGGTGGTAGTGGTGAAGGCTCGAGTCCGCTGCCGGGTCCAGGCTGCAGAGATGAAAACGTCCTTGTCGTCATGGCACCACCGGCCAGGCAGACGATAGAGTAGGTTCTGGCAGTAGCATGGTTCAGATGTAATTCAGAGCGGTACTTTTGAATCCTCGTAACTGGCCGTGCCATCCAACCAGCACTGTAACAGTCGGTCCATCGGGCAGCTGCCTGGAATGATTGCAGCTTTGGGAATGTCATTGTAGATGACGATTTGCTTTCTTGTCCCTGTCGGAAGTATTTTGTCGTGAACTCGTGCCGTAGACGCGTTACAAAACACAGGCCAAGCACTATTTATTGATATAACGGCCGGTCTCGGCTTAAAGCATAGTATGCCGAGGCTCTTGGAAGTCCCCAATAAAATTTGAGAGATGTATACAGGTGCCTCATAGCTCTAATAACGGGCTCTCTTATAAATATCAGGTCGCGCTTTTCAATTGGTGAGGGTTCAGCCTATGCCAACCAGCTAACCCCGCACCAACCCACTCGTCCTTGGAGGTATTCGGGCTTGAATTTTATTACAGCATAATATATCGGAACTGTACGGAGTAGCTGGATAATGACAGTGGAATCGCATGTCACACAAACGACCCATTAACAACACGGTCCGTATCCAACCAACCAAGACTGCATGCCCATTTCCTCTGGAAGGTTTCAGCACAGACACGGATTCAAGCTGTACGAAACACGTTGACAGTCCCTCTAAAGAAACACTCTACGCTGTGCTAAGTTGCCGCGAAGCTATGCCGTCACCGGTGAACGCGGAGCTGCGGAAGCAAGTGATCAATATCTACAAAGGTAGGCTTCTTCAAGCGGCGGTGGCTTGACCCGAGGCCTGCAGGCTTTAGGAGGGGCATGCATCACTAACGACCAACAAACCTGATTTCACGTAGAACTCCTCAACCTGGGGAAGGACTATCCTCAGGGCCACGAATATTTCCGTCGCCGCTTACACACTGCCTTTTCTGCCAATTCTGCTTTGCGGGATGATGACGCCATTCGTCGCGCCATTGCGCGCGCCCAGTTTGTGCAAAAAGGTGAGGATCCTTGACCCGTGTTTCTTGCTTCTGTACTGACGGTTTTCTAGAAATCGAAGCCTTGTAAGTGTTGACGTTTGTTTTTGCATCGATTGGTCCTTGGCTTGCAGGTATCCTAATCACGGGTCTATCAGCCAGATTGATGCTGACCATTCTGCCTTTTTGGGCTGGAACAAAAAATATGTAGATATTATCTCAAACGATACCGCACACTGAGACAGCGCTACGACGGGGAATAATGCTCCGCGCCGAAAGAGCATTGTGGACTAGTTGACCAAGCTTGATACCAAATAGTTCAGGGGAACAAGAAATCCTGTAAAAGTGCCAAATCAACAATCTCACGTCCAGTCAGAAGCCGGTGGCATTTAAGCAAGTAAGACGAGCAAACGATTAGCGATGAACAGTCTACCGCCCACAACACGAGACATGCAGTGCTATAAATTGCACGTTGGGAAAATAGATGAAGCGAGGCCTAGCCATCTTTTCTCTTCCAAACCATGTGACATACTTTTATCGTTTTTGCGCCCACCATGCGCCTACCTCCAGGCACTCGCCCCAGAATGTACCATTTTCTCTCATCAAATCATTTACCATCTTGCCAGACCAGCCATCCCACTCATCCTGGCTCTTACCGCTGACCTCACGCAGGATGGGCTCCAAACTCTGGATAAGTTGTACAACCGTCAGAAGCGCAGTGCGTCGTAACGCGGTTTGGGCTGGGGTAATTGTCTTGATGCCCGGCTCCAGGTCTCGGCTCTGACCTTTTGCTTTCGGCACGTTCTTGGTCTCAATGTATGGCTTGCCATCCTTAGTCACCACGCCACCGACACCCTCCCGCTCCCAACGCATTTCGGATAGTGGCACGGCCAATCGACGAGATGACACGTTTGTAAGCGACTCTGCTTCCTGGAGAAAAAGGGCCCCTGCAAGGGCACATTGTGCAAATGGGAGGGACCGCGACTCGAGGGCTTTCACGAGCCAAGCGTTATACTCGACGATGTAACTATTTAGCGGCGCGGAAAGTGGTGTATTCGGTGTAAGAACATATGCACCGGCAGTCATCGCGCTATTGTAGTCGTCTTCTTCTTGGCTTGACGGCGTTGCCGGTACAGAGGGTATATGAGGGCGCAGCAGTCGGATAGCATGATCAGAATCCCATACTTCTAGTGTCCCGCCAGGCTGGAGGAGGCGGATGCACTCGTCAAACACAAGTTGATATGTATCGGAGCGCATGGCCAAGGACACATCCTTGATCATGATCAGGTCAAATTCCTCGACTTCAAAGGGCCAAGGCAAACGGCGGACATCGTGCTGCACAAAACGCCAATTCATTTGGCCCTTCTCCTTCCCTGACACCGATTGGTTTGTGAGTCCTATATCATCAGGCCCCTTAGCACCTAAGCCAATGGGTGCGATGTCGATACCAGAGAATGATATACCACGGTGTCCTTGGCGTGCATAGTATTGGTTGCACATAATGCTCCAGAAGGCAGAACCGCAACCGACTTCCAAAACGCGAGTGGGGGGCCTGTTAGCAAATGAAGGGGAGCACACCGGGCCACCGAATAGTTGGAACAAAAGAAGTGAACGAAGCGACTGGCGGTGCAGCTCTTCCAGATCCACAGGGAGGGGATACGGTAAGGAAGGGTCGGAAAGATATGTGCGCCCGTTGCGTATCAAGAAAGGTTTTGTTTGGTCGAATGCTGTAGAAAGCAAAGATTGGGACGATGACCCGCCCCCGTCCGCACTGGATGGTGGTTCGCTGGGTAGCATTGTCTTAGGGCCCAAGGTTGCGAAGCCAGAAGTGCGGTAATTGTTATCGTTTCGCGCGAACGATTTCGTTATGCTTTCGGAATAAAGGGCATTTGGACCAGGCACGACTGATGTACTACTGATCTTCTGCTGCCGTGGCTGTTTCTGTGGGTCTCCCGGAGCTCGGTTTTGTTTGCTTTCAAGTGCGTAGTTACGATTCCGCAGGTGCTCGTGCTCGTACTCGTACGGATGTCCCAATTCGCGATGCCGGTGCCTTCTTGAATTGGGCCTCTGATCTTTATCTCGTAGATTTCTCCGATACTGGCCGTGAAGTTGCTCCTGGTCCTGCTCTAGGTCTTGGTTTTGGTCTTGGTCCTGCTCTTGGTTCTGCCGTTGTTGCCGCCGGTATTCTCGCTGTTGTTCCAGTTGCCCCTCCTGCTGTTGTTGCTGTTGTTGCTGTTGTTGTTGACGTTGTTGGTGGTATTGTGGCTGCTCTTGTTGCTGATGCCCGATTTTACCTCGCCTGTATGGCTGCTGGCCGTGTTCCGTAAGTGTTCTTTCCTGCAAAGATGATTTTTGGAACTTCTGTATTTTTCGCTTAGGCGTAGCCACCGTACGAAGGTGGGCAGACCTCATAGATTGGGCAGTTCCAACCGCTTGTGAAGGGTAGCTCGACCGGGCAGGCGAATGGTCGAGGGGCAAAACAATAGAAGAAGTCACTGGGGTGGCGAGCAAATGGGTCGCTCCGTCTATAGTCACAGCTGTATGAAGCGGTGACTGCAATGTTACATCAAAGTCAAGCCCTCCGATCAATGCCGACGGCGCCGGTGTTGGTGGTAGCTCCTTGTGATGATTGCCAATCGGGGACGCCTTGTAAGGAGGAGGGAGTTGTGGCTGCTGGTATCTGTCCTGGAGCTGGTCGCCTTGTATAGACACAGGCGAGGGATGACTTTGATTCTCGTGGCGGGTGAAAGTGGTAGCACCCAGGAACGCCGGAGGGCCGGTCTCGTGCGACGATCGACTCCGTGAGCTATTACTGGAGTTGGTTCTCGGCTGGCCACCTGATAATGGAAACGTTCCTGTGGTGGATGTCACTGTTGTGGGCGTCGGATTTTGCGGTGGCTGAGGCGGCGGTGCCCTGCGCAAATAGTAGTTGGGTGGGGGGTTGTTGGCAGCGACGTAGCCTAGATATTCCATTTTTGTATGTCCGGGCTCAATCAAATGTAGATTGGGCTGTAACGCTGGCGAACACTTTGTTCTGCAGGCCCCTTAAAAATGTGGAGAGGGGCTAAACTCGCTCCTGTTAGTCGCAGCCTCGTGCAAGATGGTTTGACCTCGTAAGATAACATTTCCCATGTTTTGTGGCCTCCTTGGGTAGATGTGATGTCAAAGAAAGGCTCCGGCCGCCAGAACGGTCCTTCCACGTCACGAATCCGATGTAATTAAGATGAGTGACGTGGTATAAGTTAACCGCCTACCAGGCATAAAACAAAAGAAACCGTGCGATTGGGTCTGTGGAGGAAGCATGCAGGGAGGGACGAGGAGGGAGATCCTAAAGAGAGGAAGAGAAGCGATATTCGAAAAATAGTGATAGTTTATTTGAGGTAGGAAACTTAGGCCGAAGGACCACGATAGGAAGGATATGTAAAGACAGGAATTAGAATAGTCGTGAGGCGTTAAGAGAGCATAAGCATAAGCAACTGCGAAATGGGGGCCAAGGACACGCGAAGGGTACGGGACGAATAGGCTCACGGAACACTTGCAACAGTGTGAATGTAAACAATAGCAGCTGCAAATGCGATTGAGGATGTAATAGGGAAGGATGGACGACAGAGAAATAAAGAAACTGGGAAGATGCGCACTGAAATAGAAATAAGAGTGGTGAAGGATCAACAAAATAATGTGGCTCGAGAGACCCAAGAGGCCACGGAAAAAAGTCAGACGCACAATATGGGCGAACTGCTTTAGCTTCATCTGCGGCATCCGCATCACCTGCTCCGTTTTCTGCCAGCGTCCGGGCAAGAGCAGATTAATATACCTTCGCTGCGCATCATACACAACTCGCCATACTGATCACATCGTACTATTTGTATATCAGGAATAATTAACCTAGTGCAAAACACGGAGGAAGGCATGGAACGCAGAAGGACACGCTGTGCCGCGATTTTGAAAGACTGGATAGCCATTCGGACCAATCTCCTCAACATCCATCGGGTTAATTGGGGTCAAATGTTGGGAGCAAGGTTCCCCGCCCTTATTTGTTGTACGGGTTGGCGGCCTTGGTCTCCGCGACTGTGCTTCGAGTTGCACTTCAAGGCTCCCCCCGCCGACCAATTTTCGCCAAGGCTAGATATCTTACGATATAGCGTAAACCAAACAAGACCGCACCACCAGCATCTCAATTACTAGTCGCATCAGTTGCGCGGTATGGACAAGCGTTCGTGGTTAAGGTGCCTGCCATTTTATGAAAGGCATTGTTGCCAACCCATCTGAGTTGATGGTAACCTATCAGCCTGAATCCAAACCCTGAGCCTCATACTTTGCTTCTATCAGCCCTTTGTTTACCTACAACATATATGTAGGACGACATTTTCTTGCGCCGTATTTTCGTACGTATTCAACTTCAAGAACGAATCGTTTTTAAAATTATACGATTGGTAGCAATGAGAATTTTCAGATTTGAAAACTTTTGGTTTCAGCTGGAGCTGGCTTGGTTGGAGAGAGGCAGTGTTCCAGGGAGCAATGAAAATGTCCACCATTAACAATATCACGTGATTTTTACTGTTTATGTAATTAAACACATTGCTCGTGACTCTACGTCGCTCTCTCAGCATCCACTGTCGCAAAACTCGACCCATGCTGTGCACTACATCGCCATCGCCATCGCCGTTTACATCATTCCACATCAACATGTATTGATTGATCTTTACCTTTCATAACGGTCTCCACGAAAGCGTGTGTTGTTCTGGTATGTCTTCCTTGTTCTAACTTCTCAATGCTATCTTGCCAGGCATCTTACCTCTGTCCAGCCTCCTTTTTCTATGATCATTTTTGCTGCCTGCCTCACCCGTCTTTGACTTGCTTCTACCTCACTAGCATACCCTACTGCAGGTCGTCTTACCATTTTCAGTCCCTCTATATGGCTAGTTCGTTGCGTCTACATGCTAACCATACCTATCTCGCCTTGTAGACGTCTTCTTTTTTTTACCGATTATTGAGAAACAACCCACAACGTCGAGGACCATAAGAAAGAGTGAGGGAGTGTGGGAGAGTGCCCATGCGCAACGATACTACAACACTACCAAGCCCCGCAATCTACGTCGACCTCTCAAACGACAGAATCACATATATACTATACTCTTCCACCGCACATAGTATCACAGATTATACAACGCTTTCCGGATACCGAGTACGGCGCGGCGACTAGATTCACGAAAAGACCCCGTCACGATATGCTCTCATAGCATCGACCTCACCTATGCGACGCCCCGCATTGCCGCCCACCACCTTAACAGACCCTCATTACCTACAGTGTCGGCTTTGCTGGATAGGGACTCGTTGGTTACACATCGACAATTCCCTGGCAAGTGTCAAACGTTCTGTTCAACGCATCGATGCAAACGTAACGACTCAAGAACCACATGCACTATCTTGTACCATTAACCGAAGCGTTATCAACCTCTACATTAAACATCAATCGTGCTGGCAGACAGAAAAGAGGCCACTGCAAGACGACCTTCGGTTTTTGTCAGCCCATTCTATCCAGCTAATAGAAATTGCCGCTTGCCTTTAACGGCTACGGTAGCTTTGTCACATCAGTCAGTGTCCCTCATGACAAGTAGATGGCAGATGGTTACCGTTATAAGCAACCGGCTGGAAACCTCTTTTATCTACCTCGTCATATCGCGCATTCTAGTGCCACTCCGTCAACTCCTTCTGGGCCTTATCTAAGCAGCTTTCTCAGTCAGTGTTCAGCTGAGCCAGCATTTCCATCTAATTCACTCGATACTGCCTCGCGGGAGCCAATCTTTTATCTATCGGAATGTATAACCAAGGGCATCAGCAGGGCCATGCTTCCCGAATCAATGGCAACCCTGCCGGCCGTGGCATGCCCATGCTGTACAGCTTTCAGCAACCTACTGCGCACCAGCACCAGGCCCTTCCGCAGCATCACCAGGTCCTACAGGCTTCTGACCAGGGCAGTCATACCACCAACACGCAGAGCCTGGCACATCACTCTGCGTATTCAAGTGGTGTGATTCCTGCTTCCAGCCCGTTTTCAAATGGCCTTCAAAACGGGCATGGTGTGACCATCCGCGCCACCCAACAGCCACCTGTAACTGAGCATTGGGCGGAGCAGCTACGCCAGCACAAGGAAGCCGAAGCTGCCAATATTGCCATGGTTGAGCAAAATCAGGCCAATTACTATGCTCGACTAAAGGCGAGTGAGAATAAGGGCATTGGCGGCCCGTCGCCCATTTTGAACAGCTCTACACTGGCCGACGGCGACTCGGAGGATATTCGGAGGCCGTGGTCTGTCGACAAGCCGAATCGCCAGCAAGATTGGCACAACTTGGACCTCAGCGGTCAAGGGCTGCGTGCTTTATCCCCTCAATTGTTCTGTTACGAATTCCTCCAGGAGCTGTACATCAGCTCAAACAAATTAACTGTTCTCCCATCTTCTATCGGCAACCTACGCCAGCTGAGGATCTTGGAGGCATCGCACAATCAAATGTCCGACCTACCCCGAGAACTTGGGATGTGCACGTTCCTTAAACAACTTTTGTTGTTTAACAACAATATCCGCACTCTCCCCTTTGAGATTGGCTCGTTACACATGCTTGAGACGCTTGGTATCGAAGGCAACCCGCTCGATCCAGAGCTGAAGAAAGAAATCATGGAGAAAGGCACCAGATCTTTAATTTCGTATCTACGAGAACAGGCCCCCAGTAAGTTTTTCTTTGCCAGTCACGTTCTGCCCCTGCACACGCACAGACGCCTCTCTCTGCCGGTGCATCTTTTCCCTACAACCTTGCCCTTCACCTCGTGTGCATTGCGTTACCCGTACCTTGTCTTGGTTGCAAAACGTTTCTAATTTGTGTCTAGTCCCCCTGCCTCCCAATGACCGCAAGCTTGTCATTGTCCAGGAAGATGTGTCTCAATCTCTGGAACGCGTAACAGTTTTTTCTTGGAACATTCTTGGAGAACGATATGCCACATCGCAGCTGTACGGATACACGCCATCAGGTGCGCTTGCTTGGGACTATCGCAAAGAAAAAATTCTCGAGGAAATTCGTCATCGCGATGCCGATTTTCTTAGTCTTCAAGAGATCACAACGGATGCTCTTCGTGACACTTTTGGCCCTGAACTTGCCCGTGACGATTATAGGGCAATTCATTACCCTAGATCAAAAGCGCGGACGATGTCTGAGAAGGACGCAGCGTCCGTCGATGGCTGCGCCATATTCTACAAAAGCAGCAAATTTGTCCTCCTCGACAAACAACTGATCGATTTCCAGGCGCTCGCCATCAACCGGCCGGACATGAAAAGCCAGCATGATATCTTCAACCGAGTCATGCCTAAAGACAACATCGCTATTGTCGGTTTTTTCGAAAGCCGCAGAACTGGAGCACGCCTTATTGTGGTAAACGCCCATCTTGCCTGGGAAGGCACGCTCGCCGATGTCAAGATTGTGCAGACCGCATTAATTATGGATTTTGTCACCAAGCAGGCCGAGAAATACGCTCGGTGGCCCGGTCTCAAGGACAAAAAAATGATTGAAATACCAGGTGTCGAGAAGGATCCCAACCCCCCCGAATGTGCCCCTTCTCAAGAATATCGCAGCAACACGGACATTCCACTCTTTGTATGTGGTGATTACAACTCGACCTCAGAAAGCGGTGTCACAGAGCTCCTCCGCTTGGGTCGACTTGCTCCAGACCATCCTGAGATCGCAAAGTTTCAATATGGAAATTTCACACGTGACGGAATCGAGCACCCTTTCAGCCTCAAATCCTCCTACCAACACCTCAGCGGAACCCCGGATGAGCTTCCTTTCACAAACTACACGCCTGGCTTTGCCAATGTCATCGATTATATTTGGTATTCAACCAATTCCCTCGAAGTCGTGGACATTCTCGGTCCGCCAGATGCAGAGTATCTCAAGCGTGTACCTGGTTTTCCCAGTTACCACTTCCCCGCCGACCACCTTCAAATCATGGCCAGCTTTGTCATCAAGCCCCGCAAGGACAAGAAAAGCAGTTCATCGGCGAATTGATGGTTGAACGGTACTTTTATGAGGGTTATATGTTTAACAACGAAGCAGCTGGAGGTAGTTGTTCCGTGAACAATTCACTTTTGGCAACTTGCCTTTCTGGGCAAGGATTCTCAGGCTGGATTAACGCCAAATCGTTTGGATGCGAGCGCCGGTATGGTGCTTAGTGCTAGTTTTGTTTCTTTTGATGGCACTGTATTTGTTTTCAGCGTTTCGGCATTGGGCATACAAGAGGGCAAGGGAACAGCGCTGTTGGAAATGGATATGACGCGACCACCTGTTTGCGTTTAAGGGCTACTGACTCTGTGCACGGAAATCTCCAAACGAGGATGGCATCTCAGCAAGTGACCGGTGCCTCTTTCACATGTTCGAAGCACATGGGCTGCCATCCTTGTGACTGTCTTATGGGACGAATCTTACTTGCTGGGATTTGGTAAAACAATCACCTACGGCGTTCAAACACGGTGATTGGCCTTCTTCTGGATGGTCTCGTTCGGCATATGGGCCACTGGTGGAGGGTGGGGTTCCTGGGGCGAGTTAGGCGCTATGCGAGGTGTTTTTGTTGAAGCCGGAGAGGTGCAAGATGACGGGACTGGCAGGTCGCCCTTTGCTACGCTCGAACACGACCGAGGTTGGACAACCGGTTTGGCCCTATGACAGTTTTTCTGGTTCTATTGCGGGCCTCGCCGACGGTTGGATATAGTTTTGCGGATGGGCTAGCTTGTAATAATACGGAGCGTTTTGGTGGTTTATGGTATTTTAGTTTTATGTTTTATCATTTTCATTGTTTTCGTGTGTCATTGTTTTATTGTTTATTCTTATTCTCTTTTGTTAGGGTTCACGACACTCTATGTACGACCCATAACAACCGACCTCCCCTTAAAAGCAAGCATGGCAAATGTTCCAGATACGGTGTTCCTTTGCCACAGCATCGTGACACTGGATACGTTACGAAACTCGGTATGCAGTGTAACAGTGGTCGTCGGTGGTATAAGACATGGCCGGCATCCGGGTCCGTGAGACCTGACGGCCGATTTAACGTCCATGAGGTAAATTAGAGGTTGGTGGTGCAACATACATTTGTCGCCCTGCAACTATATGATATTTAATGATACGGTGGATACTTCCACAGGACCAGCGAGCAGCCCAGAGCCACTACGAGAATGGAAATTGATGTAAATACGGGGAGGAGGACACGCACACATGGACACAGGACGCTTGCATTGGTAAATTGGAGGTCATATACCGTCATAAGTAGGACATAGTATGTGACAAAAAATACGGATGCCTTATCCGTGAACACAGAATAACCCTTGGAAATAATAGAGACAATGTAAGGCAGGTATGAAATAATGAAATCGAGAGGAAGTTCAAAAGAAAGGCCACATTGGCGATGGGAGTAAGCATTAGGTCACACGAACCTCACTTCATCGAAGAGGCCAGCTCTCGCCTGCAACAAGGCGGCGATTTCGAATAAAAATGACTGTAAGATGACCGTGTTTGTCAAGATATGGGAAACCGTAACCGTTTTTTCTTCAAGAGGTGCAGTATCCTCATCTCCAGACTTCGTGTTGCCGTCCATTGCATCGGCCATATGTTTAACTCCCTGTGGTTTTTCATGCTGCAGGCACCCCTGGTCAGCGGCCACATCGGGTGGCGGAGCCCATTTATTGAAGCGAAGTGGAATTGGTGAAGAGTCACCTTGTGACTCTGGAATCCCGACTCGGCGTTCTAGGATTTTGGAATCCACAGCTTGGAAGGCAGCCATCTGGCTCGCGACTAAGGTGTCTTGCCTACCCTGCCCGCCCCAAGAGTTTGTGTCAGCGCCATAGCTACCTGGCGAGACCGAGCGTGCTTCGCCAGCCCAGTCCTTGGACAGCATCTTAATTCCCGGAATCAGTGGAAACTCTTTCGGTGCCACCGGTGTAGGCTTGGTGGATATGGGCGTAGATATACCGTAACCACCTTGCATGGGACCGGGGTGGGAATTGCTCACAGATGTTATGCCTCCACCACCATTGCCGTCTTCGATATGTGCACCTGTGACTGGAGAGAAGGCACCGCGACTAGTATCACTTCGCCCCCGAGGGCTGCTTGACCGGCTTGGAGTACCAAGCTCTGATAACAACCGTTGTGCAAAGCTTTCGAATACAGAGGGTCGTGTGGAAAAATCGCTTCTCGTATCATCCACAACCGGAGTATTTGGGCCCAAGCTATTGGATCCGTTGCCAAAGGTGCCTTTGTTCCGGAGAAGAGGCATTGGTATACTGGAGTCTGCCGTCTGAAAGGCTTCACGACGTTGTTGCAACAAGTCGTCGAAGCGAGGTATTGACAGGCGATACGCTGACACCTGGTTGGCTAGTGTCTGTAGCACTGTCAACAGCCGTGGAAGATTATTCCACTTTGGTCGCCGTCGACAATTGTCCATCAAATAGGTCGCCCGATGAGCCTCGGTTACGGCCCCATCCCCGCCCTTGACAACTCTCTTGGCATCTAACGGAGGGCGAACAACTTCATCATAGACATAGCCATCGGGATGCCGAATCATCCAGCCCTCTAGCGAGACAAATCCGCATGTACACAAGTCGAGAATGGCCTCTGTTGCAAAAAGGTTTGCATCAACAGAGTTAACAAAAAAAGTACGTAAACGATCAACCATAGCTGCCAGAAGTGGATCGCTTGGGCGGATTGTATGAGCACAAACATCGCGGGGCGCACCAGGTAGGCTGTCAGGGATGGATGGGAGAGCATGATTGTTTGTCGACACCCTCGGGGCGATGATCTTAAGGGAACACGAGTGTCCTTCAAGCCGCACAAGCATATCTCTAAGGATGCTGTCGTACACCTCGTTAAAATCGTCTTGACCCCCGACAATGCCTGCGATGGACATAAAGAACTCAACGTCCTGTTGATGAGCGCCAATCGTGCGGCGCGAACCGGCTCCCGAGATGGGCACGGTACGGATTAGTGTCATTACAGCGTAGCGATGGTGGCGGCGAAGAATGGTCGAAACGAGTTGGAGCGTGACACATATGGTTTGCTGGTTGTGTGACTTCAGGCAGGCCAGAATCAGGTCCACCAAGTTGAACAGGATCGGTGTAGCGGCAATTTCGACCCTTTCTGCCATCATTGTAGCTAGATCCATGGACTTGCGTTTGCGGGCAGCACTGACGGCGCTTTTCACCATTGCTGGCTCCGTAGTGGTCGGATCTGGAAGGGCTAGGAGGTAATGAAGAATCAGATTGATCATGTCAGGGTGATCGAGAGACTCTATTATTCGGCGCAAATACGTCAGGACAGCCACAGACGACCCGCCGTCAATGTCAGAGGATTCGAGAAGAGAAGGATATCTTTTTAAACGTGTCAGCCTCCAAGACCGAGGGCCGACGCCACCATTGAAGAGGGACGACATACAGGAGTTGTTGAAGGAAAATGACCTGAAAGTGCTCAAGCAGCGTAGATCTCACTTCGACAGAGCGGCAATGGTTTAGGACATCCTGCCAGAAGAGCAGATGTGACAGAAACGTGTCCAGTTGGACCTGGAATTCTGGAGAGCAAGAACTGACAGCCTCAAATGCAGGCCGCGGATGTTCGTAATCCGACAGCGCAAGAACCGGAGGGAGGTTGTTGACCGGGTGGTCAATAACGAGTTTGCGGCTTAGCTGGCTGTAAAGGGCACCGAGCCCAGTAGCCATAAGTGTGCTAAGATCGCTCTCGACAATCCACTGTTCAAGAAGAGCAGAAGACACGGCCGATGCAGACTCGATGATATAGAGCAGACCTGTACGAGCAAAGTCACCAATCTTGCCCTCGGAGTGGATGTAGTCCATCAGGACATAGAACAGGGGGAAGTCCTTCCGCTGCGTTTTCCCCTTGAAACGTTCGTGGTCCCCAGACCCCTTTTCTCTGTCGCCATCATGGTCGTCTAATAATTGTTGGGCCTTGAACCATGCAGGAAGAATCTCCGGACGAAGTCTGAACTTTGTTGTGATGTTGAATGCAAGCTCCACGACCTTGGTCTCAGTCTCGACGTCCAGGCGGATGCTGTTTGCGCCAGTGATACGGACGAATAAGTTGGTGAGGTTGGATGCGAAAGTCTCTGATTCAACAAAAGCATCGTCCTCGCTCTCGATCAACGTGCCGAAGAAATATACGGCCTCTTTGATGATATTCAGGTTGTAAGATGTAGCAGCAATCTTGCCGATAGGAACATATATCTGCTTTTCCGAGGCAAAGCCTAGACAGGTGTGTGGAAGCGGCCGGCGGGACTCGTCGATGAGGATGTCGGTCAGTTCCTGAATGCGCAGCTCAATGGTGTCCGCAGCACCAATATCATGTACAAGGTTGGATGAGTTGCGCCACGTTTGCTAGATGGGTGGAAACACTGAAATCAGCCGAAGAAAACAACACGAGATGCCCAGTTCAATTGGGCACTGTATAGTGAAGACGCTCGTGACCAGTAGAAACGAAATGTGCCTACCAAGAGTTGCCCGTATTCTTTCTCGAATCGATGCCGTCGTCGTAGGGGGTCTTTGACGACGTCCTTTCTCGACGGGCCAGCCGACAGGGGCGTGTGGCTAAGGAGTCGTGACCACTGTTTGGAATGCCGTTGTCAGCTCGGACTGATGATGCATCATCAGGTCATTCATTCTCGCGCAGTCAAATCAGTTGGCAAGAGGTTTCAACCAACATACAAAATCCATGGCGATAGTCAGGTCATCTCGAATAAACGCAGTAGTGTAGGCGAGGGTGTCGATAGGACATGATATAGGGAAGCGAGCGATGATGGAGAGTATAAGTGAGCCTGCCTCAGTGTTCGCGACGCTGTCAAACTCGCGTTTGCTTGGCTTGTCTCCGCCCCTCCCTATTTTTCGCCGAGAACGGTTAAGCTATACGTCGTATTTGTCACATGAATGAACTTTTCCCTATCAGTTGGGACGTTTGGCGTTGCAGATCTGGCTGGCAAAAAGTGGCTTTGGTCCAATAAAGGCGAAGTCGCTGGGGTGGGTCGTAACGTCTGCAACGTATTTCGACTGACTCCGACTGACTCCAAGCAAACACACACCGGGAATACTCTGTACCGAGACAGCAAACAACGTCATTCGCCGGATATCCTACGTAAGCCACATATGGCTCAATGACGGCGAGGTAGTCAAGACGACGTACTCTCTGGCTAGGAAAAGGTGTTTCGGCGAGTTTAGCAAAGCTTGTAGGCAAAACATAGGGGCTTCTATGATGTGATCTGGCCGCAATCACCGTCGGTTCGTACGGAGCGCAGCAAATATTGCAACATAGTCAGCCTGGATGCGGAGATATGCAAATATGTGCAGAAGACTCCTTATTTGGTACGGGCCAGGCGAGATAAAACCTTGTCTGCCTGTGAGCTTGTCCAACCACAGAGCACTGTTTCCCAGCCTCCTTCTGCAACTAATGCACACCGTCTGCGGTTATCACATCTAGGATTCTTAGTGGTGGGCGCCTGGCCAATCATACGCCGCAGCCTAAATCATCTCGTACAAAGCTGTGACCGGCTGCCCCAAGAACCAGTGCAGGTAGACAGCACCAGAGCGTGTATCTTCACAAAGACGTGTCGTTTCCCAGAACCCGGAAACTACTAAAGAGACGCAGCAACAGAGCGGGCTTTATAGACTTGGCCATGGCAGTACAATACATCGTACTTTTGCCTCTTTAACTAGCCTGTTACTTACCTCGGAAACCTCTGTAAATATTCAAGCTAGATACCACGTTACGACCCCTGCTGTCTTGCTATTCAGCAAATAGACCCTGCCTTGACACTTTTGTGCCGACCGCGCTGTTTCTATCGACTCCTTTCTCATTTCCTTCGCCGTCCTGTCGTATCTCGATGAGATGTGCGGCGTTGAACGACGCGACTGAACTCCGTTTTCATTCTCACCTCCCGGATTCCCCCTTGCGGCCTCTTGGAACGATGACTGCCCGGCGAACCGAACGTGTTGTTCCCACACAAGGGATCACCGGCTACGGCGTCGGCGTAGAGCCTTCACCAGCTCCATTCGTACCCTCTGTTCCAAAAACGCCCTGGCAGTATCCTCGACCGAACCCTGTTGTGGTCAACCACCACTCTTGTATGGTGCCAATTTCGACATCTGGTGCTGCAGACATCGGTCCAGGAGCGGCGCGTCTGTTCGCTGGTGCCTGGCAACAAGCAGGGAAAGTTCGTCTTGAATCAGTCATGAACCTGGCCACGGACTTGCTGCCAATGAACGTACCTCACTTTTATGATGATAAGTATGGCCCGTGTCATACTTACCAGACATCTTTCCTGGATCAAGGCCCTGCTCTGTCTAATCATCTATCTTCTACATTTGGCTTCCTTATAACCGCCATCGACCGTAACGATTATGAAGGATTTGAAACCAGCTACTGTACACTCGACGCGTCAGCAGCCACACTGGAAGTTTTGCGAGGTGCATCTCATCGAGAGGGGCCTTGCAGCCATTCCGAGGGCTCGACTGCTGGCCCAATCGCTTTATTGATATCTAGAAGCTACTTTGCCAAGGTAGATTATTATGCAAACTTAACGCTGCCTTTGAATTTGCCACCCATGAAGCTGTAAAACTCCCCTCGCCGCCTTTTCATTTCTACCTTCTCTCTCTCCTCCCCCCATTCCCTTTTTATTGATTTTTTTTGTATCATTTTGATATGGACCAACTAACAACACTCTTTAGATATCTTGCTTCATATCAGCTGCTAAGCATGGCAGCAAAATACTCCGACCGTGCTTATTTACGGCCGCAGGGCTTTGAGCGGTCTGCTCATATTGGCGCTGACTGGCGATCTGGTACAAAGGCCATGGTCATCAAGTCTGTCCCGATGGACGATGCGAACATAATTGTGTTCGCCATTCGCGGTACATCTGACTTCATGGACTGGGCTGTCAACTTGAACATGGCACCGGCATCCCCGGCCGGGTTTCTGGACGACCCGGGGAATCTTTGCCATGCCGGGTTCCTTTCAGTGGCTCGGAAGATGATCCGTCCAGTTGCTGCACGGCTCCGTCGACTTCTGGAAGAGGACCCTAGCCGTACCTCCTACTCTCTGCTCATGACGGGCCATTCAGCTGGGGGTGCTGTGGCCTCACTACTCTATGCACATATGGTGGCATCTTCGACATATGCGGCATCTGAGCTTAACTTACTCACAGGCTGCTTTCGCCGAATCCACTGCATCACTTTTGGTGCACCGTTGGTCTCGCTCCATCCATTACAAAAACCAGGAAGACAAGAACTCGCTAAGAGCTTATTTTTCAGTTTTGTTAATGAAGGTGACCCCGTCGTCCGAGCCGATAGGGGGTATGTAAAGAGCTTAATCGAACTGTTCTCTGCATCCATACCAGACCCTCGACTGTCAGCATCTGACACGCATTCGACAAATCATTGTCACGACAGCCACGGAAGGCACGGCGGTGATGGTGGCTACGGGCCCGCTCGGCTGAAAGCATTCTGGAAGGCCCCACCTTCGACATTAAGCAATGCTGGCCGCATGGTTGTTCTGCGATCTGGGAACCCGCGGTGGAGGCCCAGTGGGAAGGACACCGTGCAGGAAAGGTTGGGGCAAGGTGTTGTCGCACAGTTTACGTCGGATGAACAGCTGCGTAGTGTGGTATGGGGCGATCCTCTGTGCCATGCTATGAAGCTATATGCTGGCCGCATCGAGGTCCTTGCTGCCGCGTCTATGATGGCAGGGGCGTGAAAGGTGGTCTACTTTCATATTTCACCACTTCCAACTGCTTCCTTCCATGGCTGCGTTCTGGGTCCATTGCAGAGTGCGCAATACTGTGTGGTGTCGTTCGAAAAAGAGGAATATCAGTTAGCTTGACATGGGTCCATAGGATAAGATGCAGCCGAATGGTACCCGCATACTTTGATATTCAACAGTAAAGGTGTTAAAAGATAGCACAAAACGCAAACTTGTTCCATGAACCTCACTTGACAGTGTATGTAGTCCTTCTCGGGCCACAAGGCAACATCCTCAAAAGCTCGAACCCACATATACCAGCTGTACTACAAATTTTCTCGTACATCTTAAGATGGGTACTATACCCCGCCCGTCACGGGCGACCTTCGTCCCAGTGAACCCAGCGCCGGATGATACTATCTACGTCCGCGATGGCCTTCCGTGACGCTTCCACCCGAAACCACTCTCGGTGTTCCCTCCCACAAACTCCGCACCTATCACCATCCGCAACCCGTAGTCCAAGCCCAGCAAGTTCTAAATGAATAAGGCGCTCGACTTTGTGGCTGTGCGGTATCTTCCGCGGCACAACCTCGCTGGACATCCCAAGGCTGCGCAAGGTAGACGGAATGTAAGGATAGAATCTTATAAGCGACAGTTTGTAGCCACATTGCCGCGTCCACTCGTTGAGACGGCGTTGAACATTATTGGCCCGGCCAATTTTGAGAAGTAAGGCACTATTCTTCTCGGTGCTCCGGTTCATGACCTTCGTCACACTTTCTCCGTCGGCATTGCTTCTGCGTTCGGATCTCGAATCCCCTCTGTCTATACCACCGCCGTTGTTTCCAGACACACCGCCTGCGGCAAAGGATGCAACGATGTCGCTGGCACGCCGCCAGTCGCCGCCGTCGGGGCGAGTTGGAGGTAATAGAAGAGAGCGGGCGGCCTCGGTCGGCGGAGCGACCTGCAGCGACTCGGGCGTGAGCCAAAACATGTAAATATATCCCGGTTCATCGACCTGAGAGAAGGGCTTGGCCAATTCGGCCATCAGGCTAGATGCGGTCTGTGGTGACACCGTCTTTGGGACCAAGGCTAGATATTGCGCTGTTCGTGACGCAGTCGAGGGTTTTCGAGATCCTGGCTGGTGGTGGTGACTTCTGGGCGATGTCCGGTCCCGATATGTTTGCTCAACTGTCTGTTTGCCCTTGCCACGCGCGTGGGCCACATGGGCAGATCCCGACGACGAGGAAATGCCAGACAACTGGGCCGGCTGTGGACGTGGGCGAGGTGATGGTAAGGAAGCTTCGTCGGACGGGATCTCGAAGCAGAAACAAAAGAAGGCTGTCCTTGACGTCTTGGACCGTGGCCGCTGGGTTCGTGCCCCTGGCGATTTGAGCGACGTAGAGGGTCGCACACCTGCGCCACCTGTCGTTCGTTTGCCGCCGTAGCCATCCGTCATGCTAAGAAGATTCAGCCTGTCGGCGAGCGTATCCAAGCTCGTGCGTTCTTCGAGGATGGGGGAGGGTGATGTCTGTGGGCCTGGGCTCGAGCGAGCTGACATGCTCGCCTGTTCCTTGTGCTGCCAGCAATAGAGTCGTTCATCGCGGGGGTCGTCTACGCGGAGTCTACTGCCAAAGTGCCGATTTCCACCGACTGCCTTCTGATCCAGACCCGAGGGCGAAATACGGCGACGACAGGTGCGGCCGCTTGATGTGATACCACGACATGTCGTTGACGGGTTTCTAGAGTCGGAGCGCGCGACGAGCGATTCTGGCGTGTTGGCGATGAACGGCATATGGGACAGGGCTCGGAGCAATCGCTGAGTGGGTGGTGCGCAAACGAAAGATTTGAGTACCGGTGCATGCCTCTGCAACAGACAAGTTGTCGATGCGTAAAATGCGAGGCGGCGCACATGGCAAGCTCTTCTAGGCAGTGAGGCAGTAGCCTAGACATGCAACGCTGTTTGGACAGTCGTTGTCATCACAAACATACCACTAAAATTAAGGACAGCGTCTTTGTTTACCACTTTGTCAGAACGAGAAGACAAGAAATAGAAGCCGACATTTTAGTGCGAAACGTTTTCTTATTTAATTAGCCTTTTGGTCGCTCTCGTTGGTTTTCGAAATAATTGGCAATTGTTTGCCACCATCAAGAATGCATAGAAATAAACAAAAACAGCGGGGTTGGTACGTTGTGACAACGTGTGGTGGTGCGAACAAGAAAAGGATTACATAATTTTTTACAACCGCTTCTTATTGGTCCACATATATTTGCAAATATTGTAATTCAGGCCTTTCAAAAACAACATAAGTGATAACGAGAAATGCGACAAGAGCAAACAGAAACCATTATGTACCTGTGTAAAATGATACATAGGCCGCCACCTCTCATATAATCTTTATTTGAACTCCTATTGGGCGCCGGTGTAGGCTAATTAGATAGTCGATCCAGTTTATGTATAACGTAGTCCAAACCTCATGCTTCGCAGGCCACACACAAAATGATGTTGCTCTAAAGCGCATCGCATTCGTGATATACGTTTTCAACGACAAGATACAGAGTAAAGCTGTTACGAATGAAATCACTTCGCAGTGTAGATACTGGAGTTTTGCTAAGCTGCTGGTTTGGGATGTCAACTGAAGAAATGAAGAATAGTGTATGGGAGTACTCCGTATATAAAAGCTCTTGCCAAATATGCCACGCACGTATTCAGCTATGTGAGATAAAACCATTACACGGGGGTACGGATCATCGACGCATGGCGATACCATAAAACAACCTTTCTGGTAGTATTCGTAGAGGACGAGAGGTGGATCAAAACAAATAGTCAGCCGCGAAATTTTGATACGTTGTATTCTGTGCGACTTGCGGTGATGGACTTTCGGGGTAGCTTTCGAGCCAGATTGGGGCGTAGTTTCTCTTTCCTTTTCTTTTTTTTTTCTTTTTACTCAGAAGAGAACAGGTGAGACAGGCTGCTTTAGGTTGGGCTCTCAATTGCTTTGTTGGCCCTTTTGCTTATGTTTTGTTCAGTATTCAATCGTCACCCCCACCCCCAGTTAAAACCAACACTACGTGAGACATGTCAGTTCTTTCATTATGTATTCCATACGACACAGAGGACGCAAAACGATGCAACAAAGACGTAGTTTCAGTGGTTGAGAACCGCCAAGATTTCCCATCAAAAGCACCCCCACTGTAACGAAACGAACCACAAAAAAACTTGCTATTGCGCAATACTACCCCTGTAAGACGTTTTGGCCTTCTCACAGTCAGCGCATTTTGCGCTCCTTGTATGTTTTGTATTACTTCGAGCTGCGTAAATTTCTCCGTACGTCGTATTACTCCGTGGTCCCGAGAAGTTGAAATGATTTTTTGGTGCATTTTTCAATCAAATCGTACATGTAGTCTGTCAGAGCGGTCAGTTGCTCACCCCCGCCAAACACTCCTCGGCCGAAGGCGAATGAAGGGCCTTACTTGTTAAGGCCGCGCTAGGCCACGCTTGTTGCACGATCTTGAGGCGGACAGATAGTACTCCGTTCGACACCGTATGTTGTTCCCTATTTGACGTCATCCTGTGGACAAGGCCGTCCTTTGGGCCTTCGAATGACCGCTTATTTTTACAAACAATACACAGCACTGGCATGACTTTGTACCTTTATGTAACAAAGCAACAATATAATGTCGGATGTTTACAAACCAGAGACCCAGGGTTTGATCTTTTGGTGATTCGTATGTCTGGTTTTGTTCAAATTGGTTCTTCTACTGGAAGTCTATGGTGTAGCTAGTCCCCTGCTTCAAGCTCTTGCGTAACGTTTGGCTCGCGCTTAGTACTGAGGACTGTAGTAGTTCAGTTATGATGAAGTGTTTTCAATGTTAGATAACAGTACATTCGTACTATGGAGTACAGTAGTCAAGTTGGGGGAAGGATCATCTACAACTGAACCTCCCGGTCCCCGCTGCCCTCCCAATCCACCCCGCCCGCGCGATGAACAGACCCCCACTGCGACGGAGGACACGTTCAGTCGTCATCACATTAATCTCGGAGCTGCCGATGCGACTACAGTTGAGTCTCAAGTCTCACTCGCCTTCAAGCTAGACTGGCCTGTCACCAATTTGTCACATATTTCGCGGTTTTTTTTTTAAAAGTTTCACCAGACACCTACACAGAAAGAACATTCGCAGCTCGCGGCAAGATGCAGCCAACGGTCTGACTGGGGCTTCGGCACCCAAAAGCGAACAACGCACGGTCTCCGCTTGTCTCAAGAGTGGTACAGCCTACACGGCGCGTGTTTTTATTTTTTAGATGGGCGGCGATTCTCCCAATTCGACCCGGGCAAACTGGAGTGCCCATTCAAACAGGTCCTGCGCGGCGAGAGCCCGACAGAGTTAGGCCTTTTTTCCGTTGACCTGGCACTTTTTGTTGTGTGTGTGTGTGTGTGAGTGAGTGTGTGTGTGTGTTGAGTGTGTCTTTTAATCTTTCAGTTTGGCATTACGGACTGTTGAGGCTCCGAGTTAACCGCTGCACTCATCCAAAATCAACACTGGTCGGTAACCGCTTTTCTTCACCTGCAAGATGGACGCACACGAAAGATCCACAGCACCTGCTGGCGTGTTGGTATGTACTGGGCCCACGGCCCTTTCCTTGTTCGATCTCGCTCGCTTGCCGAGCCAATTGAGGCGCAAACGCGGTCGTTCGCCGCTCCTACTAGAACTACACTAGCGGGTCATGGAGACAACACCCCGGTCCTAGATTGACATGTCCCATTACTTTCGCCCCATCCAAGTCTTGTTTCCTCTGGGGTCGAAATCTCTGTTGTATGCTTACGGTGTATTTATTTTGATCTTTATCTGCAGCGTGTTCCCCGTCCATTGTGATCGCCGTTTCTCTTTCTTACAACACTTTTTTTTTTCTCTCTCAGCCTCTCCTTTCACACTTGTTGTCCCCCCATCCCCTCCCTTTCTTTCGGACCCTACCCCGTTTCTTCGCAACTACTCTTATACATGACCTCTAGCGCAACTTAGGCAGGCTGAACCTTGCATTGCTTTTTCGCGCCTACGGTTCGTCGAGAACTTTAATTTATTCCGTTACTTTCTTGTTGTATTAGAGAGAGCCATTGGTTTCAAGTCTTTCGCTTTAACCCAGCAGCCAGCTCTTTACCACCATATAGACGTTCTTGGATCTGCACCTATCCCGCGACATCCTTTCGGATACGACGAGCATTTGTCTCCAGCATTTGCAACGATGGCCGAGTCCCTAAAAAACGAGAAGATCGCCAATTCTCCGGTCGACTTTGACCCAGAGCCGGCAGTGTCCCCGGGCGTCTCATCTTGGTGGGGCGGCGGCATCAAGATCGGTCCTCGAATCGGTCCGGATATTACCCGCAGCTCGCTAGACTCCGACAGCGATGATAGTAGTGCAGCAATTTTGGAGAAGCAGCTTGCCCAAGAGGATGGCTGCGCTATCCAGTACCGCACCTGCAGCTGGCAGAAGACGGCCGCCCTTCTATTTTCCGAATACATCTGCTTGGCCATGATGAGCTTCCCGTGGTCTTACAGCGTCCTGGGCCTTGTTCCTGGTTTGATCCTGACTGTGGTTGTGGCTGCATTTGTGCTGTATACATCTATGGTCCTCTGGGAGTTTTGCCTGCGCCACCCCGAAGTTCGCGATGTTTGCGACATCGGCCAGATGCTCTTCTGGAACAAGAAGTGGGCATGGTATGCCACGGCTTTCATGTTCATTCTGAACAACACTGTACGTGTTACCCCATTGAAGGGTAATTTTATTATTTTTTATTATTGATATTGCCTTCCGTGGGACACCATGCTAATACTATCGCTCTTACACGACTACAGTTCATTCAGGTTCGTTTCCACCTCAAACTCGCGAGTCCTTGCTCTGTACTTGAGACAAATTTGTTCAATGAAGGAATATAAAGGGTCAAAAACATAGCGGGATGCAAGATCCGATGACCTACCTCTCTTTTCTTCTCCCCTTTCGCCCCTTTTTAATTACGGTTTCCCGCCTCCTGTCTATTTACTTTGCTATAGCACGAGTATCCGTGGCTAACTATTTGATAGGGATTGCACGTTCTCGTTGGTGCTAAGTACTTGAACACGATGACTGCTGCGGATAACAACATTGCCTGCCGCACTGTCAGCTTCAGTGTAGTCATTCTGATCATATCTTGGGTGTGCTCTCTCCCTCGCACCTTTAGTATGCTTTCGAAGCTTGGTACAGCCTCTGCGTTTTTCACTTTTATTTCCGTGCTCCTGGCCACCATATTCGCAGGCATTCAAGCTCACCCTGCCGGATACGACCCTCGCCCATCCTTCACAACGGCCGATGGCACACCTGCTGTTGGTGGTGACCCCATTGTGACAGCGATTCCTGTTGCTGGAACAACCTTCGTTGCCGCGCTCAACGCTTTCATGAACATCAGCTACACGTTTATTGGACAGATCACCCTTCCCAGCTTCATTGCTGAGATGAAGGATCCTCGCGAATTTCCCAAGGCTTTGTGGGCCTGTACAATTGCTGAAGTTATCCTGTTCAGCATCGTCGGTGCTGTTGTTTACGCATATGTGGGAAACCAGTACATGACAGCCCCCGCATTCGGCTCGCTTGAACCTCTGTATAAGAAGGTGGCATTCTCGTTCATGATTCCCACTCTTATTTTCCTCGGAGTTCTTTACGCGTCTGTGTCTGCCCGCTTCGTTTTCTTCCGTGTCTTTGAAAACAGCCGCCACAAAAACGACCACACTGTTGTTGGATGGGGTGTGTGGACTGGCATTCTCTGTAAGTAACGGTGTTTTGCATGGCCTTTTCTAGACCTATTGCATTTACTAGTCACTTGCGTGTAAATGCTAACTAGCTAGTGGTAACCTGGATTTTTGCCTTCGTCATTGCCGAAGTCATTCCCTTTTTCTCAGACCGTACGTTATTTGCAATGCTAGGCTACTAAGCTGTTCCGACCCAGTGTTACACATGATCACTAATTCCATTGTTTTCAGTCCTGTCACTCATGTCTTCGCTGTTCGACAGCTTCTTCGGATTCATTTTCTGGGGTGTCGCTTACTTCCGAATGCGCAAGGTCGACGGCAGTCTCGAACTCGTCAAGCAGGGCAATATTCGCGCCATTCTGATGGCTCTCTTGAACCTGGCTATTATCTTGATAGGTATTTTTTTCCTCACTGCCGGTACATATGCCAGTGTCCAGAGCATTGTAGACGCTTTCAATGCCGACCAAGTTGGTGGTGTCTTCACATGTGTTAGCAACGGCTTGTGAGATAACATTTGGAATCGAAAATTCTGGCATCTGAACAAGACTGCAAGAGTACTGCAAAGCAGCGACAGGGTACAAGCGCACAAATGTCTATGTCTTTGTTTTCTATGCTTGAAGGATGGTCGGTAAATTTATGTTTTCTGATATTTCCATCTCATTCCCATGATGGTCGCTCACGCCATGCATTCTGCTGGAAGAAGTCATGGCATCGTTTTCATTATTCTTGAATAGGTGATTACCTCGCTTCCCCCTTACTCTAGCACGTCTGAGTGGAGGGCAATTATCGAACCATAATCGAGATGCGAGTAAAGGATCGAGAGGTTCTACTATTTGGCTTGGTCTGGATGTGTTTTTATGACATTAATACCCATTTGTCATTTTCTTGTTTCCATACGCACAAGTAATGTCGTAGGACTATTTGGGAGGCCCACGCAGTATAACTGCTCTCGGACGTAATTTTATTGCTAGCGATACGACCACAACAGATACGGATGTTTAGACGAGTCTCGATAGTATTCTGATTGTGGTTAAGAAACTGCCCAGTTCCATATACTGCCCAGTCATTGTTCATCTTCACGCGATAATCTGTACAGAAAGCAATTTTGCATCTTCCCGGCTCGCATTGCTGGTGATCGCATACCACGCATCGAGCCTGGCCAACTTTTTGACATTCCAGTCTTCTCAAGGCTGACCGGCATGGTCCTTGATACGAATATGCGGGTCGGCCCATCTGCTATCGGCCAGTTTCTTGACTGTAGTTTTGGCGTCCATCCCTGCTTCATTATTATTACCGGATTCTTTTGGTGGCTTCTCTGTTTTTATTTTTTTCTCCTTTTCTCCATTGTTGTACTCCTTTCTGTGCCTGGCTTTTTCCGGCTTCTACCTCATCTTGAGTCCAGTGTCCCCTTTTTCGGTTTTCCCATCGGTTTCGTTCTTACTTTGCAAATCTTTGTCACCGTGGTAAACATCAAAGTGTGTATTGGTGTCTTTGGTGGTACAAGTTTGGGTGGACTCGATCGGCACAAACGAGAACTGATCTCGCTTTTCCCACCTGTGCTGTTGTAACTCATGAAGCCTCCGGCGTTCATTTCTATAGGCTATCCAGAGAGATTTAGAGTACCAGCACGGCGCGTGGAAGTAGAAAGCATTGTAGGCATCGCGGTAGACTGGGCTGCTCAGGCAATCGAACGCATCAGTGATCTGTCAAACTCATGGTTAGGTCTCATCCCCATTGTAAGAAAACAAAAGTTGGATTTGTCTGACCATGCTGATGTAAATCCTATTTGTCGTAGGGTTATTGACCAAGGTGTAAAATGCTTCGAGTAACTCATGGATACTGGCATTGTAATTAACATTGAGAACTGCATAATAGTTTGGTAGCAAGTCGCTCCCCATATGTTCCATGTTGATCAAATACCGTTAACATGAAGGATACACCATCGGCAGCTGAAAGTTGGGCATTTATCGTAGAGAATAGTCGTGTTTCCAATGTTCTGGGCGGTGTCCATTTATACGACGCGCATGGGCTGCATATTGTGTTACGGTTTCCGGCTACACGCGCCTAATTTATTTCGATTGCTTCCATCTTATTATGAAACACACATCCACACATGCACAAAGAGAGAGAGACAGAGGGACAGAGAAATTCCTTACCGCTGATTACTATTGATTCACAACGTGTCCAAGTTTGACAGACCTTCCTCTCACGGGTAAGGGCGGCTGTGCTGAAGTCTTGTCAGACGGGATGGTAAACTTTACAACAAAAAGCCGCACAAAAGATACAAACGTAGTTTGTATCATCTATGAGCAGTTTTGTTATGAAACGTATTTTGCAAACGAAAGTAGCAAACGAGTAGTTATTAACAAAGAATAAGGCAATGTGGAATGAAGGACTGATAAGAAGAAAAAAGTATAGAAAAAGCCCAGAGGTGTTGTGGTAATGTATTATAAAGAGAAAAAGAGATATGCAAAAAGAGCCATTAACAGAATAAACTAAAAGCATATGCCAACCCTTATCCAATTTTTTTGTCATTCTCCTTTCTTGTGCTTGCCCGTCCGTCGTCGGGCCGTTTCCTCAACGGTGGCTTGCAGTGAGGTTGGCTTCATGTGCCTCACGAGCATCCTGTGAAGTGCAATCGGCGGCGAAGACTCCGTTGCTATGCTCGTCCTTGGCTAAAGAGACTGACAAATGTCCTCGACTGACAAATGTCCTCATTTGGCAGGGTTGCACAACGAATACGTATAAATAGTGGAGACAAGGTATGCAAAACAAAATTGTTCAGGACAACAATGAACGCAGAAGAAGCACGCATGCACGCTGCTTACAACAGAACCATGCCAGCACCAGTAGCCATGGCAACCAGGACGTAGAGACCAACAGACAAATCACCCAGAGTTAGCATATTGCGCATGGCGGTAGGAGCGGCATTCTTGCTCGTACTCGAAGAGCCGCCCGAGGTCGATGAAGAGCCAGCAGTGGCAGTGGCGGCAAAGCTGTTGGAAGCGCTGGCAGACGATAGAAGAGCCGAGCACGAAGACGCGGCGGCTGGGGCCTTCACCACCTGAGCCTGGCCATTCCAGTCGCACGCTGACGAAGCCGAGTTCTGGTTCCGGTAGTAGGTGTCCAGAGCGTACGCGAGCTGCTCACCAGCGTCGCACATGATATAGGCACCGTATACACCAGTGCTGGTGTTTGCAGTGATTCCGGCGCAGGCGCTAGAATCTGCACCGCAAATGCTTCCGAAGAGGGCGCCGTAAGAACTGGAGTTGAGGCTAGCAGAGGGCACACAGGTCAAGGACTTGTACATGCACTCGCAAGTAGCATTGTTAGGGGTCGGCGGCAGGATGTCCGAGGCAGCCCAGTTGGAGCCGATAGCTGGGCAGGCAGCAGGGCTGTTGGTCGGGGTGTACGCGCTCATGGCTGTCGAACTGGGGCTGACCTTGGCAACAACGGTGGACAATGTATCATAGTCGGCCATGGTCGAGGCTTTGCCGTTGGAAATGCTGACAAGACCATAGTCATTGTCCTCCTGGAAATACATGTAGACGATACCGCCGGCAATGACGTCAGTCATCTCACTCGAGTATAGTGCAGTGGTCTCCTGCCAGATACGGCCGGCAGCGCCTTTGGGCTTGTTACAACCATACTCGGCGAAGAATACGGGCACAGAGTAGTTCTTGAAGAAGTCAACGACGTCGGAGTAGCCGGAGCCCGTGAAGGTGTTGTCGCCGCACCATTCGTATATGTTGTAGCCCCAGAAGTCGATGGCGTGGTCCTGGTCACCGCAGTTGAAGTAGTGAGCCATGTTGTCGCGGATATCGTCATCGTCGTTGGCAGCATAGCCGACACCCATCCAGCGGCTGGCGGTGGAGTTGATGTAGGACTTGACGTCGCGCACGGCAGCCTTCACATAGGCGGAAGCATCAGTGTTGGTATTGTTGTTGGTGACTTCGTTGCCCGCAAAGAAGCCGATGACATTGTCATATTTTCCCATCTCGTCGACGACGGCCTTGTAGCGCGTGAACAACGCCGTATTCCAGGTCGGGGACTCGCGGTTGATGGACAAATTAGGCTCGCTGAGATCGGAGATGACGTAAATGCCAGCCTCCTGCAGCAGAGTCATGCATGCCGAGTGATCGGCCGTGGGGTCGATGGCATATGTGCGGATGACATTGGTGTTGAGCTTCTGTAACAAAGGAACGTCGCGCTTGCAGAGTGTCTCGTCAGACAAGGGGTCGATGTAGGTACTGCCAGTGGTGGTGCCGGCAGCGCCAGTGTCCTGTTGGTAGGCAACGCCCTTGATGTAAAACTGGGTGCCATTCTTGTAGAAGAACTTTGTGCCCTGCAGGGGTTGTTAGTAACATGTGCACAGCAGCAAATAGCAACATGCTGAGTTGGAGCAAGGTTTCCTAAGTTTCCGGAGATCCCTGAGAAGCATCACGCTGGGCAAGGCTGACCTTCATGACAATGGGCTCGACCGTCGTGGACGAAGCCTTTGATGTGGCAGCGATGGCACTCCCCACCATAAGGAGGGAGGCAAGGAAGGACGCCTTGAAGCTCATGTTGGCAGCAGTAAAGAGAGCGCGAACTAGTTGCGTTTGGTAGAGAGAGGCGGTCGTGAAATGACAAAACAGTGAAAAGGTTCTATTTCTTGGGGTAGTTTTCTCGCGGTAGCAAGCTGGAGACAAGCAGTCAAGGTGTGAGATGCAATGAGCGTGCGCAGAAAGCAAGATAAGTTGGTAAATAGAGAGAACAACGAGTGAATGAAGAATGACAAAGAGAAAAGGGGTAAGACACAGCCAACAGAAGACGCGAGTCGTCCGTCTACGTCGACCTGCAAAGAAACAACGAATGCGAGAAGAAGAAAGGAAGTTCTGTGGCGAGAAAAACAGAGCAAAACTAGAGCGAGCGATGAAGGAGAGTCGGAAAGATCCAAAGAAAGCGAGTGAAGGAGCAAGGAGAGTGATAAATGAGGCCCGGATCAAGAAGCCGGAGCAAAGAAACACAGCCAAGAGAAATCAGGAGAGGGTGGGATGCGCGTCGAGCAAGGGTGAAGAAAAGCACCTTGGGAAGGAACTGATTTCCAGGGGAGATTTGATACGAGGCGCAGCAATTATCCTAGTGAGAATGGAGTGGGGCGTATTTCGCACGGTGGAGGTAGAAACACTGATAATGCCTTTCGAACGAATGTTTGATGTTATTCTACGCAGGCAATTTGGGCAGGTTTCAGGAGAGTTGGTACCAATTGTGGCGACGTACTGTTTTAATACCAAGACATACTGTGCGTCTAACCAGATACATGTGGAGCCAAACAGAAACTGAGTGGAAAAATATAGCTGCGCCAAGGGGTTCTCCAACTGGTCAAAATAAAACGCACTCACATCCTCACTCTAACACTTTTGAGTGTGTAACGAACCCCGCTAACAAAGCTTTCTGAGTAAGATACGGTATTTTTTTGGGTCAGGGAGAGCGGCTTTATTTACAAAAGAACCACTTTAAACAGGTACGAGACCTGGGTATTATGGTTTCGACAAACCGCTTTGTCTTAATACCGCCAGATACTTCGGATTTCGTTGATCCAATTCTGAAGGAAGCATTCTGTACGATGCACTCCGTACGAGGTGAGATTCAATTGCTCCCCAAAACAGACCTTCGGATGAGCCCTCATGCGTTTACTTACCCCCATGTCAGTGAACCTGGCACGATACATTGTCTGGCCCTGTCGTGCGCCTGAATTAAAGGACCAAAGCCTAAGAGTACTTTACGGCCATGCCTTCCCTAAAGGGTGTGTCGCCCAGTACGATACACGTCTCGCCGTCCCCTTAGGGTACGTACTCGAAACTCCCTGTCACCATTCCATACTTCGTATTACGATGTCGACCTCGTGGTGCGGATAGTTCCGTACCCTACAGTTTGTCGGCGTGCGTCTAAAGTAAGAGGCCGTTGACGGTTTTCCCTGAGGCAGAAAAGGAATTTAAGTGGATTAGTGTTCACACACTGGGATACCTCGTTGTAATATGTGTACTCCGTAGACCAATCAAAAACTCCCTACTTACTCCGCGTTGGTAAGGGGAAATTGGATAGAAAATACGAGGTCGTGGTTCACGTGAGTGCCATGTGGTGTCGTGATGTTCGTCTTCGACGCCGTCGACGTCTTTTCATCCCCTATGTTGTACTCCGTGCTCCGCATCGTATTGTAGGATACAATAGAACATAGGTGAAAGGATGTGGAGTACGTCAGTATATGCAGCCTATGCAGACCAGGCAACGAAACTGGATGTACTCCGTGGAATGAGCCGGGTTTTCTCCATTGTTCTATTTAAAGACTATTTTGGCATCGCTGTTATCCGTGATTATTTGTCTTCGACTAAAACCGTTTGTTTACTCACGACGCCGGATAAAGTTTCTCAAATGGATGCGATGATCGCTATTCCCTCGATGCTCTTCCCCTGTTAAAGAACATTTTCCTAGCCGTGACAACTAAACAGAATATGACCGCGCGTTACACTCAAAGAGTACTCAGCCCCTCCGTCGTCTCAGTATTGCTTTGACTTTCGGGCTTTTTTTCCCTAGTAATTGTAGAAAGCCGAACGGGAGATTAGCACAGGCTCTTGGCGATCTTTGCTAAGGACTCGCCGAGCAAATGCCCAAGACTTGTTAAGTACTGCAACATAATAAAGGAACGAATGGCGAATATTGGTATAGATGATGAGATTGTGTAATAAACCAAGAAAGCTCGCAGTAACATGTTGTCAGTCGTAGGCACTCCAGATGGGTGCTACAGCCGTTGCAATACCATTACAGCCTCATTATTGTTCTCTCTGTGCCTCATGCAATTTGCTCGGTGTCGAGTAGTATCGGTCATGATTTCATGGCCTTGTCTCAGCAGCTGTAGCCGTTACTGGTCTTGGGTAGAACCTAGGTTCCGTATGCTGGCAGTCACTGGCCACACCAAGCCTGCAAGCCTGTGTCTTTATCCCAGCAGAAACATGCAACATTCCAATTGTTCGCCTCAGCTGGTACCCATACCCGAGCCTGCTCGGTAATGAACCTTATGATCTGGTCTACCATACCAAGCAACCATTAATATGTCCTTTTGTTGTATGGAGTTATCACTAAGTACTTTATGGAGTATGCCATTTCCCGCTAGGCAGTGGTACAGCGAGATGTAGTCTGACGGCCGCGCTTTCTTTTTGATAAGGGATCTAGAGATGCGCGTCTAAGACTCAGTCCACTACACGGAGTACTCCAAATGGCCTATCAGTCCAGCCACCCAAGACGCCCAGATGCCCAGATGCCCAGATGCCCAGATACCCAGATTTTTATCATTCTTCAACCGCAGATATGAATCGAAAATTGGAAGCTGAGCCAGCTGGAACCACGACCCAAGGGCGTAACTTATGGGTTTACATCGCAGTATTGCCACCATACTTATTTGTCGTACCGTCGTCGCTCTTTGCTAATGCGGGCGTCATCGTGTCGGTCACTAGACCTTCGGCCATGATCGTGGCTGGTCCTGATTTGGTGTCCCTGCCCACGCTCATATTCGTGTCGGCGCCCGTGCTCGTGCTCGTAATGGCGGTGGTGTCGCTGCGGGTCGCCATGATCGTTTTGTTCACGATATTCGCGTTGTTCGAGGTGTTCGCGGTGTTCAGGGCGTTTGCGGCGCTCTTGATACTCGTGGTCCTCACAGTCTTCATGATCATCATGGCGATCGTGATTGTCAAGGCTTTCGTGGCTTTCGTTGGTCTCATTACTTTGGAGGTGCCCTAGATGGTCATGGCGGTTTTGCTGCCTGGGTCCCTCCCCTTGGTGATGGCGGCCCGTTTTCTAACCCTGTCAGCTCATAATACCTCTCACGCCCATTTCGGCCACTGGCATCGTAGATATCATTCATTCCATTCCATGTGGCATCGTCCTCCCCCCTTCTCCACTGCCGGCCTCTCTTTCTTTTTTATTTTATCTCTCGGATATGCGCGCCCGTACCTTTGTGAACAGTGCGCCAACGCCACCCAAGACCGCATCCCACAGGTCGTAGATTTCGCTCCATATCGTCTCAAGGATAGTTTGCGCCATGAGCAACAAAGGAAGGCTGTGCGTTTCTTTGTACGTGTGGGCAAACAAATCTCTGTACAAACTTGTAGCAAGACTCCGACCAAAGTTCCGGGCCGGTATCTGTTTTAGTCTTATTATGTAGTTGCTTTGTGAGAGCGAAAATTCCTCGTGTCGTTTGTGGTCAACATTTTCAGCCTTGCGTTAAGGGGTAAGCCACCAATAAGTACTGCAAACTACATCCTCCCCGCCAGACTGCATGCGTGATGCTACGACAGCCCGCGGTCTTGGCATCGCTTGACATTGAACCATCTAAAGGCTTGGCACTTTAACCGTACTGGGCAACCATGCAATCCAATCGCGACATCTCGTGAATCTTCTAGATTGTAATACACGCCTTAACAATCCCAGGGGTCATAGGGATCCCTTAGTTCTCGTCTTGTTGATGTTTAATGGCCATAAAGCATTACGTGGCAACAATAGACAACCGACACGGGGATGATGGCATAGCAACTGCGACGAGAGTTTCTCTCTTCTCTTTGAATACACAGGTTCGAGACAAATATTTCCCACCTAGTATGACTGTCCTTGTGTCTTACATAACGGCGTTACCAAGTCCTGACAGCCTTGTTTGTTTATAAAAGACTCAATTAAAGAAAACAAAAGAAAACTAAAGATCTGAAGGAGAGTGTAGAAAGAGAAGTAGTAAAGAGAGATAAAGAAAAGGGGCAATTCGAGAACAGCAAGAGTGGGGGACACAAATTAAACAAGAAGTCCCAGCCATAAGATTAGCTTATCATCCGGCACGTCTTAAACTTGTGCTTTTGACGATAAGTAATGGAACGCCCATGCGCTATTGTCAGTTCCATCCTACATATGGAAGCGGCCTTTCCAGACGGCGTGGCCACCTTGGCCGGGCCCGTGGTTGTCGCCATTGTGATTGTTCTTGCTGTTACCACGCGACAACTCGCCTTCCTTACGCTGGGGTCTATTAATCTCAACACGATTCGAACCGCCGCTCCAGCCCCAGTAGGAACGGGCGCCGCTGGCAGTTTCTGTATGCTTCTCTGCCAGTGTGGTTTCGACGGGTGGCACGCCATACTCGTAATCGCCTGGCCAGCCCCTCGTGGTGGTGGAGGCTTTAGAAGTGAAACTAGAGGACGAGGTGGCAGCCACGGCCTCTGCAGCGGTCGAGGTCTCGCTGTCGCCACCATCGCCATAGCTAACCGGGAAGGATGTGGGTGGCACAGTTTGTGACGACAACTTGGGAGATTCCTGTAGTATGCCGGTGCTGGAGATAGGCAGGGCAAGGCTCACTGAACTAGTAGTGGCGCCGACGGCACTTAACGTGCTCGTCGTAGTGTCGCCGAAACCGAAGCTGCTAGACACGGAGGCCCACGAGGATGCAGTCGACAGGATCGTGTAGGTCATACCGCCGTAGGAAGAGCTGGCTCCAGAAACAGCGTCAACTTTGGTACTTGTACTGAAGCTGGTGCTGGCGCTGATATTGGAACTGGGGCTGGGACTGGTTGAGGCGGATGTACTTAAGGAAGCGGATGCAGACTCGCTGACGGGGGTGGAGCGCGTTGTGTAGCCGGTACGAGAGTCGGAAGCCGAAGTGGAGGAGCCAGACGGGGAAACAGAGAGATGTACTGAATAAGACGTCGAAATAGATGCCAGAATACTGCGAGAGGTGCCCAGAGAGGTAGAAGCTGAGGCAGAGGCAGACATTGAAAGAGAGGCGGAGCCAGTGGGATATCCGAGACTGGAGAGGGTGCCACTGAGAGGAGCAGACAGCGACGCTGAAGCAGAAGCGGACAGCGAAGCAGGTACAGACGCCGATAAAGGAAACGAACTAGGTAAAGAGCCCGACGCACAAATAGAAGCAGAAGTGGAGGCGGTGGCGGAGGTAGACCGGGTGTTAGAGGTAGAAGCGGACAGCGACCCAGTCAGGGAGCCAGAACCTGCGCGATCTCTAGAAGAAGACAGGCTGCTCGTCGATGTCTGGAGCGACTTGGTAATGGTGACTGTCATTGAGGATTCGACGGTCAGGTAGGTGGTTGAGTCGACGCTGCTACTGCTACTTCCGCTCCTGCTCGGACCGGTTACTGTAGCAGTTGATGCGCCCAACGACGAGTCCGGCGACTGGGAATACACGGCAGATGTGTGACTGCTAGCAGAGCCTGCGCTGGATTCGATGCTGCTGCTTGTGGTACTAGTCACGGAAGGGGTGGATTCACTAACAGACCACAGCGATGAGTGAGAGTACACTGTTGTATGGCTGGAAGGTGGTCTGCTGCCAGTCGTGGAGCTGCTACTTCCATTCACGGCACCAGTGGATTCGGTGCTAACCGAAGGCAGAGAAGAGTACGAGTACACGGCCGACGTATAGTTGCTGGGGGAGCCGGTACTTCCAGTGCTGCTGGAGCCGAAGACCGCTCCAGTAGACTTCGTACTGAACGACGGAGAAGACGAATGCGAGTACACGGTCGATATGTAGCTGCTGGAAGTGGTGCTGTTTCTGGGACTACCGCTGCTGCTGCTGCTGTTAGAAACAGCCACGACTGCCATGGACGAAGTACCCCATGACGGGGATGAGTGCGAATATACGGTCGAGCTGTAGCTGTTAACAGAGCTGGAGGTGACGGCAGGACTTCTACCGCTACTCATACTCCGGCCGGAAATGGCGGCAGTCGACGAGGCGCTGGTGAGCAGCGTGGAAAAAGTAGTGTTGAAGGGACGCGAGTACGGCGTAGTCGAATAGGACGCCGTGGGGAAGGAGACATTGTAGCCAGTTTTGGGTGAAATGCTGCTACTAGCGATTCTACTGCTCCAGATGCTCGTGCCGAAGACGCTGCTTGGGCCGGAGACAGCATCCGTCGACTCAGACCAGGTGAAGTGGGACGAGGCCGGAGCTGAAGAGGACGAGCTGGTGATGGTGGAGATGCCGGTTGTGGCACTGGTCGTGCTCTCGGGATATTTCTCGGACGTGCAGGGCGTGCAGCTGAAAGAGTCTCTGATAGTGACACTGATCGTCTGAGTCTCAGTTTCCGTGTATGTCTCTGTATACGTTTTGACGTACGTCTCCGTGCTAACATCTGTCGTGTAGCTGACTGTGTCAGAGCACAGGTCATAGAGAGTTACGGTTTCCGTCTCGGTGATAGCTGGGAAGCCGTAGCCATAGCCATAGTTGCGTTTGACGTCGTTATCGTTGTTGACACTGGGGAGGGCGGCAGCGAGGGCGCTTCTGGTAAATGTCAATATGTAGTAATTTGGACGATTAACAGGGACCTGTTATGACCTGAGCCGGACGCTAAAGCAGCCAGACTGAGGCAAAATGATTGAAGCGGTGAAATTGAGCTTACCCTAGGCCTAGCAGGGCTAGTTTCTTGATCATGATGAGGGACAACCACATGTGGTTGACAGGGAGAGTGAAGTCGGCGTCTAGGTTGGAGGAGAGACTAAAGAGACGGATGTGTTCTACACCGAAAGGACCAGAAAGGGAACAATAAAAGGGGTAAATATAAGAGGACCGGATAGGCGATATGTCGATGAACGTCGATAATGAAATCTATGCTTAAAGGACGTAGAGAAAAACGATGAATTGAAAGATAGGTGGAAAGAGTCGCAACGACTGAGGCTCGGCCAGAATTCCCGTTTCTGCAGTGCCGCAGAAACAAGAATAATGGAGGAGGATTTTGGGATTGGAACTGGAAATGAAATGTGATAAAAGAGAGAAATGAAGAAAAGAGTGTTGCTTGAGATATTTTCCCTTCTTCTGGTTCTGAGGGGAGATGTGTTGGCAGCGTTCTTATATGTTCTTGGACATGATGAAAGCATCCAGAAGCTGAGGGAAATATCCTTGATGTCGGGGAATTATTCATCATAATTTATGCCAGCATTGTCTTGGTCCGGATTTTGCTGTCTCTCTGTTCTCCACGCTCTCGGCTTACTCCTTTTTGCTTTATTTTATTTTATTCTGTTTTACCGACTTCATTTTCCTGATACGGGTCTCAGGTTGTCTTCTGCATTGTTCACTGTTTCCTATGTTCTCTTTTACCCTTTCTTCTAGGCTCGTATTGCGTTTAGTCACTTGCTCGCCAAAACAAAAAGAAAAGCTCAGCTTGAGAATACCCTCGTCGTTGACCCCGGTAGCCGTATTTGTACACCCAAACTGGTTGCTTTGCTGCCACAATGCCATGTTGGGTGTTTCCGTGTTAGTGAGGGATAGTGCTTTATTTTTACTTTTTTATAACGAAGTCCAAACAAATTTTGTCTGAAATTCATACTCATTACCTTGGTATTTTGGCCTGCCTCTCACGTCGTACTGCTTCTATTTACTTTCCGGCTGCTCATATCCTTTGAAACCTATTTTCGTCGGGTTTTGGACAAGATGTATTCTGCACACCTTGTTGCTTCCTTCCGAGACCCGCAAGGGTATGTTTGAATCGGATACCTGCTTATGGCCTGTTTATTTTGCTCCGAAGATGACCGCCGCCTGCCAAGTAGATTGCTCCCCGATGGTACCCCTTGATAGCTGTCTTTCTGGCTTGACGGTCTGTCTTAACAATGGTCATCTTTCACGAAAGCTATAGATTGTAACCCACATGAGGCACTGGTTTCCCTTTAATCCTTCCGCATCTGTTTCTTTTCAGTCACAATCCTCCTACCATTTCTCGATACATGTACGCCTCATGTGCACGGGTTCCTGCAGCGTTCCTTTGGCATGCCTGGCATGGCTAACGTGGCACGAACCCATCCACTCGTGCGAGCTTTTCACTGTGTGATGTGCTCTTTGCTCATATTCCTAGGATATGCCTTGGATCCGGAAATTGCAATATGCTTGCCTCTAGACATATTAAACGGAGTATTGGATCAGAACCCAAAATTTTGACTTTGCGTCGTACGGGCCACTTTACATCTCACAGGTCATTAGCGTTAGTATGTTGTCGTTTGGCTCCTTGTTTTGTTTCTCCTACCTTTCAACACCAACACCTCGTCTTTCTGGAGGATTTTAATTGTTTAGTTGGCACTTTTTATTCTTCCCTGTTTCTGTTTTTGACCTCATGCCGTCGCGAACTAGCTGCCCGGCCATACCACGTCCAAAGGTGATGTCAAGTACAGGATGTGGGATAAATCAAATGCTGAACAAACATACGACCTGCAAATTCTGGGATGGCGAAAATTAGTGCTCAAGTTTCCTATAATTTTATACGACATCAAACTGCTAAATCAAAGCTCCCAGATACGAATGAAGGTGGAAGTTTTAAACAAGTAATGAAATACAAAAGCCGTCGACAGTAATCAAACGTTGTATATGTGGTCTAAAACCAGGGACAAGAACTAAAGTACCCTTGCAGTAGATCTTATATATTACACTGCCTGGGGCCGTAAACGAAGCGAAAAGGAGACAACAAGACCAGAAGAGCCATGCACCTGCTAAGTGTGTTACAAATCACGACATTTTGACGGATGTGATCAAGATTGGGCTACGACCTAGACCCTGTACTTTCTAGCGTATTCTAATGCCCTGGCCTCCACGGATTTGTAGAGACTGGGGAAGTAAGGAGTGGTGAAACAAAAGCAAGGTGGACGAGCGAGACATTCGGCGCGCTGGTGCTGTTCCGGACAGAATATACGTGGCAGCATATAAATAAAATTGCACATAACGGATGTGATCCATCACCGTATCCAGTTTGTATTTCCCGTCGACTGATGATAGAAGATGTCACCCGAAGACATTTCCCTGACGCAACCACCAGAAAATGCAAGCAGGGAGTCCCAAAGATTAGATTTTTTTGAGAATTAGATAGTTAGGCTTTGGGCAGATATGAAAACGTCACAAAACAGGAGTGAGGTTTGATATGGAGCACAATGACTGGCATAAACACAGCATCGCACGACCGACGAAGCAAACCGATGGCTTGCTGCTGTTGCACTAGGATGACTTATCTGTTGAATATAGCTTGTGAAGCTCCGAGACTCTATTGGTTTTGTGGTTTAACATTCATAACCAGGGTTGGTAGCCTAAGCAGCCTAGCTTAAACCGTTTCTAGGATTGCCTCGCAGGCGGAAGAAACCGAGGGTGGTCCCGACGAGATAGGCCCATGTAGCTACCGTACTACGTAAGTCTTTGGTAGTTCACGTTGTTCGGATATCCGTTTGTTTTTCAGTCTGTCCACAATATGTGTCTGTTTGTCTGCCTGTCTGGAGTTACTTTCGACATTGACGTGGCATTTAACAGTCAACATGACACAACGTGAAATTAGTGAGTCCAGTAGCGGTCAAGGACAGCGACTTTACCACCCAAAAGGGGTTGTACAGAATAGTGTTAGGCAAATATGAACAACACGAGGTGAGGCGGGAGAAGCATGCTTGAGGTGAGGGACCAGCTGAACGGGTGAGCTGAGAACATCGGGAGTGCCGTGCTACGTGCAATACCGTACCGAGACACAACATGTTCCGAGCGTTTTGGCATAAGGCAAGGGGGTGTCCTATGGCAGCGTATTTGCATGCCACTAAAATTTGTGCTTAAAAAATCTGTGATGTCCCTGGACCTTCTTACCTTTCACTATATTCTGTTTCTTTCGGCACATTTTAGATTCTCTTTTGTTTTTATAGTTGCATATTTCCTCGTAATTATTAAAGACTTCTGATTGCATTTCTCTCGTCACTGCTTGAACACAAGAAATGTCTCGGTTCTGTAGATAATACCTGTGCGAAAGGGCCGAAATAACTGTAAAATTGAAACAAATGTTCAAGACGTATCTAATATAAATAACCATATAAGACCTCGTAAAGGTGAAAGCTCTGGTATAGTTACACGGAACGTCGGGAAGTGGGAATAACGTTCGTTTCCACAAATACACAAGTTGCAAGACGTTTTCAAGTGAAAGGGGTACGTTTTGTAGTCTGTTAGTTGTTGCGGCTCTCTCATTTCATCCTTAAGCGACAACGGCAAGATAGACAAGAAAGTACTCGGCAAAAGATGCATGCCAGGTGCTTTTATAAATGCAAACAAAAACCGTGCCAGTCACGGGAGTCTACATTTATTTCCACCCTTTTTCTCGCGATGTCAATGTCGACGTCTTGTCGTGCTATTATATCAGCGCTTGAGCACAAACCAAACTAGACACTGGTGAACTCGCCATATTTCATGGAGTATAGCGCTGTCATCTTACTGGAAAGCCATGCTACAGAAGTCTAAAAAGAGACGAAATATTATGCAACGCAGGGTGCACAAAGGAGAGACACAGGTGATCGGGATAGAGCCGTTCGTAGCAGTGTGCTTATGTGATCGAACCATATTTGTATTGTTTTGTTTCCTTTGCATTTCAGACGAGACATATACTGGTTCTATTTATGGTACGTGGGGGATATGACATACAATTGTATCTTTGCCCCTTCGAATTTTCTGTTAACTTTACGCTCTTGACTCCCATTCCATTCCCCATTCTCTTCTTCTCCTGTCCTTTTCGTCTCACTACGCCACAACAGCAATTACAACAAGTAAGCTCAAAGATGCGGCGCGGTAGCCTGGGGTGGCTCCCTTGCTGACGCAGCCGACAGTCAAACAGCTTCAGCAATTATCTTGGCCGCGTCCGGCGGTCCGCGCAGATACCGTTCCTCTGCTGTCTGCCAGTTGATGACCTTCCAGATGTTTTCGACATAGGCCGCCTTACCATTCAGGTACTGCAGGTAGTAGGCGTGCTCCCACATGTCGACGCTCAGGATGGGAATCTCGCCGCCGACCGGCGAGTCCTGGTCCTTGGTTGTCACGATGTGCAAGCCTGTGGCTGGCTCCAGCACTAGCCATCCCCAGCCGCTGCTTTTGATGCCCAGCAGCGCAGCCGAAAAGAACTTCTTGAAGTTATCAACGCTGCCCCATGTCTGGTTGATATCCTGGACCAGAGTCGGGGCGGCAGCGCCCGAAGGATCCGACTCGGGTCTACCGGCCGGAGCAAGGTTCCGCCAGAACAGCGAGTGGTTGATATGACCGCCGCCGTTGAATCGGATAGCCTCCTGGAGGGACACCTGCGTGGCGGCATCCCCCGTCGCGATGGCTACGGTTAGTGACTGCAGCGCCTTGTTAAGGTTGTCAACATAGGCCTGGTGGTGGCGTTTGTGGTGCAGTTCCATGATTTGGGCAGAGATATTGGGCTCAAGCGCCTAGGAAATGGTGAGAGACCATGGACGGTCAGTACACAATGCTTCTGGCAAAACGAGCCCCGACATGGCGGCAAGGCAACAAAGACTAAGGGGGGGGGGGAAGGTCCTCGTGGACACCCGTGCTCACATTGTAGGCGTACGGTAGGGCCGGCAGCGAGTAGATTTTGGCAGACATGGTTTTCGTGGTGAAAAATGGTAGAAATGATGGTGCACTGGTCTGGATAGACAGAGATAGAAGGATACGATAGAGGGATTACGGTAGGGCAAATTCCCAAAGCAGAAGAACTGTAGTTCAATATGAAGAGATCTGGATGGGAAGATAAGGGAAAGAGCTGGGAGAAAAGAGGAGATATCACGAGAGAGGAAGAAGAGATGGGCAATAGAAATGACGAGGGGAAACAGTGTTGCGCGAACAGCCACAGTGCCATCACTACCAAGCGTATGCCTCAGGGCACGCTATCTTCGACGAAATTTCATTCCTTCATGGGCCATGAATAGCCACGAGGCCCTTCCGGCTTTATCTGCATATATTTTAATGGTCATCGCGACGTTGTAGGTGCAGAGACTGGATGAACCTCTTTGGTCAGCAACTAGGGCGCCCATGTGACTTGCATTTATTAGTGCTTCTGGTGCTGCTGCATGTACCAGTTTTCTCTCGCAAACTTGCTCAAACTATCTCTGGCCGGTCATATATGCTTAGAAATTGGCAACGACAGCGATGGCAGGGCCAGTACAGGAAAGAAATTGGCAAAGCGCCGTATTCGATTCTGCGAAGAGTACAGCCGGCGCCTGTTTGCTCGGATGTCGAAACCTTACAGCCTGCCAACATCGGCCTTCGAAATTATCTTCTGTTCTATCTGCCCTGCCCTCCTCATCCACCAAACGACCAAAATAAAGGCATCAGACGAACGACACGCTCATCACAATGTGTGGCGACGAATCTCCTGCGTCATCGTATGCCCACCGTTTTGGTGCCCTTGCAATCATGAGCCCGCCAGCCTTGCCTTTTCCCACAGCCTCATCCGCAACCTCTTCGCCGACTGCATCGCTGGCAACAAGCCCCGGTGATGTGAGGGCGCTATCGGGCAGTATTGCCTTTTTCAATGACACCGACCACGACTGCCAGGTAGCGACGCATGTCCGCTTTTCACCGTTGGAAACACTGCCGACTGGCAGAAGCTTGCCTTGGCTCTTGAATATCCAGTAGGTCTTCGTCTGCGTGTCCGCTATATTGTGAGGAGCTTTCGTGGACTGAAACTCATGCACAGTGATTTTGGAGACGTTCAGTTTGACGAGACCCAGGTGTCCACTACCTCGCCGTGCGGGTCCGTCCTGCACCGGCTGCTGGAGCCGGTACACTTACACGTGGGGCGAGACCGGGACGGCAACATGGGCATCATTGGGCGGCGTGTGACTATGTATCGCGTACCGCCGTCGGCACCCTACCGGACACACGCAATACCGGTATCGGAGGGCATCGTGGGGTTCAACAGCCTCCCGAGAAGAGATGCGTCGTTGTAGTTAAAGAGAAAGCGACGCGATGCCGTGCACTTGGTACCATTCGTGAACTTGGAATAAATTTGCTTCGTCCCCTCTTCTTGAAATGTTTTGAACACCAGTCACCTTTTTCTTAAACGTTTTCCAGTTTTTCCATGACACTCTTTCGTCCCTGGCGGCAACCGGCACGGGCTTCTTGGCGGACTAAATGATAGTTTTGGACGTTGCCGAACCGCCTGGAGCTCAATTTAGAGATGCAGACGACATCGACGTGGACAAGGTCCATTTCACCTGCATGTCGTCCGTCTGGTTCACTGTCCGGCATGATGAATGGAATCTATATTTTCAGGCAATTAATGAGGTGTGTTCCTGGCTTGACGAGTATCAACCGGTTAATTACACCGGCGCGCAGGCAGACGGGCTGCTCCAGGACTACATATTGTAAATGATAGCGGACCAAAATGAGACGTAAAATACGCTACTGTCACCAGAGACGAAAGACTGTGAAAGTCGTTAAGAAGGGAGACATGTTTGGTCTAAGTACATACTTATATCAATAAGAAAACCAATAGCAAGGTATACAGGCACTCTTTTGATAAATTCACTCAGCCGTGAAATTGAACTTCTCATCCCTATAGCACGACGGAGTATAGTTAACCAAGGCGCTGCCAATTTGCAAGCCGGACAACAGCGTCCGCTTTTAACCTAATCAACGGATCCCCAAGAAACGCTCGTACCGATCTTTTTCCTGTCCATGCTCCCTCCACATGGGTCGATGCGAGGACCCGGAACGACCTTGACAACGACTGACGGCCGCAGACCCTCCAGGGTTCTTTGGATGTATATATTGCCGGTCACTGTTCGTGTCAAATCTTGGTGAGATGGCATGTTGATGCTTTGCTTAGCTGTAGCACCGATATTTTTCGTGTCTCTGGCGTTGTGTTCGCTTCCCCCTCGCTTTTGTTCTCATAGCCACTGTAAGAAAGGAGGCTTTGGCACACGCACACCATGCAGTTGTCTCTCGGCCTCCTAACTGCCGCTGCAGCCGGCAGTCTTGCCTCGCCACATCTCGCACGCGCCAACACAACTACGTGCAAGTGTTACGCTGACCAGTCCTGCTGGCCAACCGACTCCCGGTGGAAGGCTCTTAACCAGGCTGTGCAAGGTCGTTTGGTCAACTTCGTGCCGCCTGCCGCCGCATGCTATCCAACGTACGGCAGCGCAACAACGGCCAACGCGGATGCGTGTACGGCCATCCAGGCGAACTGGACCAACGCCAACTGGATGTAAGCGGTCCGAGTTCTTGGAGTGGTCTCCTTGTTCTTTCGCTTTCATACTTACCTCTGCCTTGTAGCGTCGACCAATCCGCCCAGACATTCTCTAACTTTTGGAATAATAACTCGTGCTCTGCCGCCGCCGACAAGTGCGGCGACAAATGCGCCCAGGGCCTATCGCCGTCCATGATTGTTACTGCCAACAACCAATTCGACGTGCAGGTCAGCGTCAACTTTGCACGAATCCAAAACCTGCGCCTCGTCATCCGCAACACCGGCCACGATTACCTGGGTCGCTCAGCCGGCTTCGGTTCCCTGACCCTCAACACTCACCGCCTCAACAATATCCAATTTGTAAAGTCCTACACAGGGCCCGGCAACTACACTGGCGGTGCAGTCAAGGTGGGCGCAGGCGTGCTGTTCCGCGACCTCTACCCCGCGGCCAAGGCAGAGGGAGTCGACGTTGTCGGTGCTGAGTCAATGGTAGATTTCTCCTTCCCCCAATACCACACCCTGTCCCGTTTCCCGTCACCTTATGTACGCTCTGCTAACCTCGACTCCTTGGTAGACGGTCGGCATCTCTGGTGGCTATGTTCAAGGAGGCGGCCACAGTCCTTTGAGTGGACTCTATGGCATGGGTAAGTCAACCTGCACCTTTCCGTCCCATAGGCCACCGTAATTTCGGCAACAGACAACCGGCTCATTCTATTCTCCCACGCAGCCTCGGACAATGTGCTTGCCTTCGACGCCATCCTAGCTTCGGGAAAGCAGGTGCAGATCAACAGCGAGAGCAACTCTGACCTGTTTTGGGCTCTGAAAGGCGGCGGTCCTGGCACATTCGCAGCCATCACGGGCGTCACTGTCAAGACGCACCCGGTCATCGCCTGCACTGGCGCCACACTTAGCATTGCTTACAACCAGCCTAGCTTTTGGAAGGCCGTAGCCGCCTTTCACAATCAGACAACTGCCTTAGTTGATGCTGGCATATACGCGGCATACACAGTAACGAAGGCAGGCGGTCTTACCGTTCGGCCGTTTGTTGCGCCCAATATCACCATTGACCAGTTCAGTACGATGGTGGAGCCGCTGGTCTCACAGCTGGCCACGCTCAATGTCACCTACACCTTGAGCAAGGTGGTGTCATACCCTACCTTTGACGACCTGTACCACGCGCTATTTTCGGCCGATGCAGACGCCGGCGGCGGCAACACGCTCCTGAGCGGAAGGCTGTTTAGCAAAGATGACGTGACTAAGAACGGCGCTGCTATCAACAGTGCCATCGGTGACTTGGTTAACGCGGGCCACACCTTTGTTGGCGTCGCCGTGAACCCGGGCCACGCTGTCCCCGATCCGGACTCATCCGTTAGTGCCGTACATCCCGTGTGGCGTAACGCCGCCACCTCGACCTATTGGAAGTTTGAGCCGCCCGCGTGCCTCAGTGAGGTTGGCCGCCTAGAAGCTCTACAAAACCTGACCCGGCTGGGCGACGCACTGCGCAAAGCATCCCCCGGCAGTGCGGTGTATGCCAACGAAGGCAACGTCAATGAGCCCAACTGGCAGCAGACCTTTTGGGGAGCCAACTACAAGAAGCTGTATGACATCAAGATCAAGTACGACCCTAGCGGTGTCTTCTGGGTACCGGCGACGCCTGGTGCGGAGCTGTGGACACTGGTCGATGAGAAGCAGCTTTGCAAGTCAGCGTAGATGACTATCAATGGGGACTCCGAAGGAAACAGAAACAAAAGAAGTAGAAACAGGTATAGGGTGTACCGTGAGGGTGATTGGTGGAGGTGCGAATAGTGGAACGCTTTTTTATTGATTTCACGCTTGGTGGATTGTTCGAGAAAAGTGCCGTACGCGGTATCATGCTGCTTTTGCGAAATTGAGTTTAAAACAAAACGACCTACGGTAGTACTGTGCCACCGGATTGAGTGTGCCAAAACAGTGGACCAAAACTAAAGTCCCTTTCCTAGCCGAGAAAAGCAAACGCGTGACATTATTCACCACAGGCGGCGCTACGTTTTGGCTGGACTTTCTCATTCTCGCACAGAGTCACAAAGTTGTGATATCTTGTGTTCGGTGTACCTTCCGTTCCAGCACCGTTGTCGTCCGGCGTTGACACGACGTCACTTGCGGAACTATGAACGGCGACGAGAGCCACGACAACACACGCAAATCCGCGATGGATTTAGAATCCATCCGACGCAAATGGAAACCGGCCTTCGACCGAATCTGTGACTCGTTTGACGCTCCGATGGAGCACCATTGCAATGTTCTCACCCAGCAGCTCATTCATTTTAATGAAGACAAAGCGGCTATCCTTTCCGACGTGTTCAAGACTGTGGGCGAGCAACAGGCTCACAGGGCATTCGACGACATGCTGAGAGAATTGATCCCGTTGAGTCTACGCCGGCTCATTTTGCTGATTGGAATCGACAGCACACCAGTCCCGGAGCAGACGATTGTCGCACTTCCTCAGCCACTGCCATCACCAACTCTATCTGCCAAATATGTCACCAACACAGGCGCGGAATCCTGGGCCAAGAAGCCCTCGGCTGTTGCTTGCAGTGAAGGCAAAGTTTTAATGCCGTTCGGCTTTGAAATTGACGCCCAAGCCACCACCGTAACGGTACAACAATCCCAGCGCCTGATGTCTTCATATTTTACGTTTCGCTCTTCCAGCACTTATAGGGTGCCAAGTACTGGGGCAACGACGGACGTGCATATTTTCATGTTCGTCCATACGAGCCGAGCTTCGAGCCTCTCATTCTAGCCAGAGGCATAAGACAATACTAATTCCTTTCCTGCAAATTTAGGAAAAGGGCAAGGGCCACCATTATATCCCAAGTACCACACAACCTAGAGCATTTGACGAGGCGCCTGGAACAGGGCCTGTGGACTATCTCAAACCCGTGTCACCGGCGGTTCTAACCTAGGAAGTTGACGCTGCTGAATTCTTGTTTCAATACGAACCATTCGGCCACGGCTGGTTCGTTCTTCGTTGCCTCCAGGCCTTGGATCCCAACCCCGTGCTTTTTGAGGCGCACCCTCTGCAAACACTGCATAGCCAGACAGGGTTGCCGCTCGGCTTGCATCACTTTAACCGAGAGGCTTGTGGAAATCATGACCGCAACCAGATTTATACGGTTCAAAGCATGCTCATCTCATTCGCCCAACGTGTGGTCGACGAGGACGGCGAAGATGTGACCGACGAATGGGCCTACCTGTCAAACGAAAGCCTAGAGGAAAAATTAGTCAAGCGAGCCGCAAAAAGGGCTTTGCGATCGATTTGTCATCGCCAGCGGAGAAAGTCCAAAGTAGATTCGACTACTGCAGCTAAACTCACGAAGGCAGAAACTGACACTATCACAATCGTGGATGATGATGACAGTATGATGGTAGGTGCCGATGACGATTTTGAGCCTAGCTTTTCGGACACGTCAGCAACGACGGATGGCAGCATTGGCATATAGGAACACAGTAGCAACATGCTTTGCTTGTCCACCCACAACAATATGTTCATATGTCTATCGGGAGACGTTTTATTGTTGTGTGTGTTTACAGCATGTTGGTTGTACATATGTTCAAACAATTGTAAGTGTGTGTGGCTCTGGAATAAGATGTCGCCAAGATACGAAAGTAAATTTAAAGCCATTATGAATAAAAGAACTAAAGGCGATATCGACGGTATCGACGAACATGGCGGCTGGGGAGATCTAGTTGCGATGTGTCCAAGTGTTTGGTATAGAAGTGGTTTGAAAGGTATCAATGCACTCTGCTGCCACGCCACCGACAGAGAGTTCCGATGCCTCATCTGCCGTATATACAGTAACCCCCAGTACTAAGTTGTGCAACTATAATCCTTCTTGGCCCAGGCCGCGTCCTGATGTTTGCCCTAACACCATGGCCATCAGTTCCTTCACGTTCGGCTGAGGCCCTACCGCTGTTGTTGCTATACCATCTGGGTTGAGCCCCAGGCCTGTTAACTTCACCTTGGCCATCGTGGCTGCGGTATCGAGGAATCCCATCGTGTCCAAAAGCTGTGAAGAGCCCAGGGTGTTCACCATAGCTACCTGCACCGCCTGCCACCGTCGCACTACCACGTCGGGGTCAAACAGAGGACCACTCATTCCCGATCCGCTGCCTGTTGTGCCGTTGCCGTGAATCCATAGACCGAGCACTTGCTGCCCACTTGCCCCATTTGTTCCGTCTGGCCCCTTTGACATCGTTTCTTCGTTCTCAATGCCGAGCGTGATCAGACCCCCGAGGACCTCGGCCTTGCAGACCCGCGCCAGGTCCACCACCACGTTCATGAGACCTTTGCGGTTGAGCACGAACACACAAGCCCGTGGTAAAACAAACTCCTCGATTTTTAACGGTTCTTGTTCGCACAGGAATAGGGTGCCCTCAATCTGCGGATCAGCCTTGATCCAGCCACCTGCCTCGCCGTTGATTGCGTAGACAACGGAGCTGGCTGCCACAGCCTCGATGCTTCGAATCGTCGGCTCGTAGCATTGTAAGACGCGCAAGTTCATTTCGTCGATAGACCCTGTAGGTATATGGACATCGGCTGTGTGCTGGTTATCGACCGAGGGTCCATCGCTTGTGTGGTTGTTCTGTTGCTGTTGTTGGTTTGGTTGCAGCTGTTGCACGACATGGTGTTGAGGCTGCTGCGGACCATGCGGTTGTGATTTTTGCCTCTTATGTGCCTTCCGTGGCATGGTTTCTTGTAGTCTAGCTTGCGGCTGCTCAGGACGGAAATGATATATATTTCGGAGACGACGGAGGAGGTCGATCGAGACGCCCAGATGAGGCTCTCGTTGGTCTGCGTAGGCGTGTTGGTTTCGGGCGGAAGTATCGAGCTATCGATCGTAGGGAAGAGTCGCACTATGGAAGGGATTGTGATATTAGTTAGGTGTAGGCCATGTGAGTATGGTTGGGTGTTTGTTGTCTTGAAGTTGCGGCATTAGCATTGAAGCTTGCCATCCGTTTGTACACTACACGCAAAGTGCGCCACCACCAATCAGTAGTGTCGAGCTGTATTTCTACCAGGCATACAATTTACATTCGTATGATAGGGACTTTATCGCGATAAACAGTGCATAAAATGAACCTAGTACTTAATACTACCCAACCAGCCCCCGCAAACAGTGCGCAAGGTTCTAGAGATCTAGCCCGCTTACTTGTCTCGATCCCACGGGCATCAGCAAGCATCTGCTTTGCAACCAACCAACTGTGCTCTAAATACATCTCGTACAACACTTTAACTTGCATCTAACATTCGCCTCTGGATTTGCACCACACCAAGTTGTTACATAATTTGTCCAACTCCTGTCTTGCTATGATACTACGCTCCGACATAGCCTTACTGTTAGTCGAAATTGGATTTACGACAGTTTCCAGGTTGCATAGACATTGCAACACGACGACGCGATACGCCACCTGTCACGACTACCTCAAGGTATACATTTCGCCTTTCCTTGTGCGGTGTCTCATGCCTATACTCTCTCAGGCTGCCGAACGACATGTCTATCGCCTAGCTTTGGATAGATTTCCTGGCCTCCAATCCGTGCGGCGAGCAAAGTACTGCACGTTGCCTTGGTAAACCCTTTCATTTTACCTCGGCCTTATCGATCAGCTTCCTCGAGTGATGCACTCTTTGCCCGCGAACCTTGTTCTGTGCCATGCCCGCATAAGTACACACCATGGTCCCTTCCTCGAATCGGCCTGCCCCGAGGTCCAATGCCTCCGAGCCTGTCGACGTTACCGCTTCCGACGCTATGCTGCACTCCCTCCACAGCGCAGTGTACGCTCGTCGCTCCGAATATGTTCGTCCCCACCGGGTCCGTTTAAAGGTTGGCACGTGGAACGTGGCCGCCTGTCCAGGCACCGATCACGACCTGGCAACCTGGTTTGTTTCCGGAAAGGGCGTCGACCACCGACTCTCCAATATTATTGCCGCTTCTAGCAATGGCGCTCTTCAAAGAGAAACGTCCGATACGGCCTTTGCGGGACAAGAACAGGGCGTGGGGGAGGACGTTGCTGCTGTGCGTGTCATGGGCAGCGATCAGATCGGCCTCTACGCCCTTGGTTTGCAGGAGGTTGTTGACCTCAATGTAGCAAGCCAGTACATGAACCGTGTATACACCGATTCCAATGCAACGGTTCTTGACAGGTGGAAGACGGCTTTGGGGCTCGCCCTGCCGGATGGCTACAAACTTGTCGCCTCTGAGCAGATGTCGGGTCTTCTGTTGCTAATCTATGCTTCTCCCGAGGTTGCCGGTATGGTCAGCCACGTGAGCACCTCTGCCGTGGGAACTGGCTTATTGGGATTGATGGGAAACAAAGGAGCTGTATCGGCCAATATCGTCCTGGGCGAGTCGACAAGGATGGTGTTTGTCAACAGCCACCTGGCCAGCGGCAACGAAGCATCACATGCTGACCGACGGTGCTGGGACGTATCCCACATCGCTTCTCGAACACAATTTGAACCATACAACCACCCAGGCCTACCGGAGACCAAGGAGCCGGAAAAAATTGCTGATGCCGACTTTGCCTTTTGGTTTGGTGACCTCAATTTCCGCTTGGATGATCTGCCAGGAGACGATATTCGCCGCATTCTTACATTGCATGCGCGAGGTGAATACGACCTAAACCAAAAGCTGCCGGTGGATAGCAACAGGGCTGGTAGTATGCAAGCTGGTGACCACGACTCGCTTGCGGGTGAAGAAGCAATAGTTTTGCAAAAGCCTACACCCACAGACAGCCGATCTAACTGGGCCTCCAGTACAACGAAGGCTTCCGCAGACTCGATATCAACAACCTCAACGGCGCTAGCAAACGATGATGGCAAAGACGCTGTTGGGGGTATGAAATTGCTTCCACCGCTGCCGGACCCTGATGAGTTTTTACCTGATGCATCTGAAGACCCGGCATCTCTGCAGGCAACCCTTGATTCGTTGCTTCCTCATGACCAACTGGGAAAGGCGATCAGAGAGCGGAAGGCATTTCACGACGGCTGGCGAGAGGGCCGCATTACGTTTTTGCCATCATACAAATACGACGTTGGAACAGTCGGTTTATTTGATTCAAGCGAAAAGCGTCGTGCTCCTAGCTGGTGCGACCGGATTTTATACCGCACCCGCAAGGACAAGGACGACTACGAGCAACGGGTCAAGGATAAGGAAGAGGCAGAGAAACGGGACAAAGAGATGACCCAGCGTGGATTGGACCACGCTGGTGACGACGACGAGGTCCTTTTTGAGTACCAACCGGATATAGACGGTGACGATTTGTTAAGACGCAACTCTACCGCTTCAAGTTTAGACTACGACGAGTACGATGATGGCGAATACAATCCTGACAAGGACAATGAGACCGCACCACAGGATGGCGTTGCCGACCGCATCCACCTGGACATTTATGCGTCCCACCAGCGCATCCAGTCGTCCGACCACAAACCTGTCGTGTCTCTTTTCACAGTTGATTGTGATGCCGTTGTCCCAGAGCTAAAGGCAGCGGTGCACATGGAGGTGGCTAGGGAGCTTGACCGCACGGAGAACGAAAGTAGACCCGGCGTGACGATTGTTGTCGATAGCCGCGTGGTTCACGATACTAGCAAGTACACATCGGGGTCAGACGAAGCGGTCGACTTTGGGCTGGTTGTATTTTTGCAGAAAGCATCGACATCGTTGACAATAGCCAACACAGGTGGTGTGCCGGCTGTGCTTTCCTTTGTCGAAAAGCCGACGACTGAAGACCTGGCCTCCAGCGATTTTATTGCCCACCCTTATCAGTGGCTCACTACGTCTTTTATTCGCCAGGACAAGGAAACTGACGAAGAAGGTCCGGTGGATCTGGGAAAGGAGGTTATTCTTGAACCTGGCGAGACTGTCAACGCACTTCTTGAAGTCTTTGTGAGCGACGTTACTTTTGCTCGCATGTTGAATGATGGCGTGAGCAAGCTTGAGGATGTACTGGTTCTTCGTGTGGACGAAGGCAAAGATCATTTCGTACCTGTCCGCGGAACGTGGGCACCTACATGCATTGGGCGATCAATTGAGGAGTTGGTGCGCGTACCTGACGGCGGAATCCGGGCATTTGTGGCCACCCTCCACGAAGAACTTGCAAAGAAGAATGGCCAAACGCCTGGCGCAGACACGACAACGTTGGGCTCGATTTCCTACGATCTCGACGTCCGTTGCGCCGCGCCAAAGGAACTGTTCAAACTGACGGAGATGATTGAAAATCTGGTCGACCGATCCATTGCGGACGAGCAAATGCTAAAGGATTTCAAAATTCCCGGCGACAAGGTGGGCTGGCCTTTCGAAGACACGACACGGGCCCTAGATAATCGGCATATTGTCGCAGTGATCGAAGCCCTCGACGAGGACCGGCCTGTCCTGGATGCTTTCGAGCCCGAGATGTCATCTTTGTTGCGCCTTGAGGTCGTTAGCCATGTGCTCCTCCTCTTCCTGCAGGGACTCACTGACGGCATCGTGACGATCTCATTATGGTCTCAGATCGACCAGGCCACACTTTTATCACTGAATGGGTCCAAGAGTGTCAATCCGATTGCGCGGGATCCGAATAGCGAGACGGACAAGAGCACGGTTTTGGACTTTCTTTCGTCGACGCCGCACCACAACATCTCCTTCGTCTTTTTGACAACTACGCTATCCAGGATCATTGGGGAGCTTTCACCATTAAGTCTTGGGGACTTAGACGCGCTGAGGTCCATCGGACGGAGCTCAGGAGGAGGTTTTAGTGCGACCATGGGCGGTATAGGTAGCATCGGCCGCCGGTCCCTGAGTAGTTTCAGAAAATCTGGTGTCAGCCCTGCGAGCGCCGCACTGGAAGCCCTAGACCGACGAATGGCCCGTGAGAGGCGCTATGCCGAAATATTTGGTGGGATAATGTGTCGGGTCCCTGCAATGGCCAAGGACAGAGAACGCAAGGCCCAAGAGGACAAACAGAGGGCGGTGGTGGAGCTTTTTTTAAAGAGATCGAGAGAGGAGTTGGGAGGCCAGTGATCTAGGACATAGAAGTCCTAAAATTCCTACACGCTCACGATGTGAACCGGCATGGCGTTTAGAGCAAATGCGTACATATTTGTCGGATTGCGGACGCGAAATTTTAGTATTTCGGCATCGGCAACTGCTTATGGAACATATGATGTGCTCAAAGCCCCGAATCAATGCTTCAAACTTTCTCGGCGCTGGCTGGTTCGGAGTTTCGTTGTGAAAGTAAACCAGGAACTCCGGAGACTACCAGAGAACGTCGAGCAAGATGCTGGTAATTAATCGTAGATTCGGTAGGTAACGCGTCTCCGGGATAACTCCTTGCTATTCTACGGTAGCAGTGATAACACTGTCGTTTCCTTCCTATCCTGGCTCGAGAAAGCAGAACAGGAGTTCTACCAGCAGAAAGAAAGAGTGACTGCGCCAGCTGTTTCCGAAACAGGAAATAGACAAATATAAGTAAACGCTGGTTGCTTAACTATCAGTCACAGTAACATCGGCAGACGTCCACCGTCGTTTCTTGTTTCGTTTTCTTTTTCGTCTACTATCTCTGCATCATTTTCCTATCATCCATACAAAATGTCTATTTACCACCGGTACGCCGTGTTCTACTGCATTCAACGGTACCAAGCCGATATCGACAAGCTGGGTGACCTTTTATCTCAGTTCGATATTGTGGACAATTATTCTGATAATAGAATTACGGTTAATCGGGACCATCCTGATACTAAAAGCATGATCAAAACCGCAGATGGAGCTGCAGATGCTTCACACCCAAGACATGGTGCCGAAAACGAAACGGACGCGACACAAGAACTTCGAGTGCGCGAGGACGTCGAAGAGAGCGAGATCCACGAGCATGACGATGACAACCACATGCCAGAAGGCAACAGATGCCGAGTTTCTCCGAATTCCAAACTTGACAGCCAGGAGAAGCCTGGTGCCGGAAATGGCATTGGACTGGACGAAGTATGGAATCGGCCGCAAGAAATACCGATTGCCACCAGCGCAAAACCGGAAACTGAAGAACGCCCTCGACTCAAGTTTGCCCGATCGCAATTGGACAGAGTGCGTTCCTGCGGCCGTATCCTTCAGCGACTGAACGCAGGGCTTGCTAAAAATATCCATCGCATCGAGACGGAGGAAAACGAACTCTCGTCGGAGTCAATACGACACTTGTGGAGTGAGGCGGCGAGATTAAATGGCACGGAGAAAATCAAGCCACTTCGGGCAACTACTAGCTGGTGGGAGAATGAGGCACGCAGCGAGGACACGAGAAGCTTTAGTCCCACCGCAAACAACACCGCTCGTACAACGGCAGTGACAAGTCATCGGTTACCATGTAGCCCTCTCCAGAATCCAATCATGGCAAACGACTTGCTTTGGGATGACCAAGTAAAACAGTGGCAGCTAGGTATGGGCCGACTCATGGACGACCAGGGACGGCGGTACCTCAAAATTTGAGAGAATAGCTGTTTGCTTACCCTGCGTGTGGTTGGTGCTGTTGGATATTGTTTGGTGAAAACGGGCTACAGGACGTTTTCATGACTGGGACCTGAGATACAGACAGAGGTTAAAGAGAATAATTAATGTATTCAGCTACTGTGAATATCGCTGGGCTCGGTCATCATAATATATTTTAAACGAGAACGAATTGTGTTCTCGTCGCCTTCCTCAATAAGATGATGGTGGAGTGGAAGGTGGTTACGGGAGTGATGTCAAGAAAAATTGAAGTCAAATCAAGAAACGTAGACTGAGAATAAAATTAAATTGTTTTGTCCTTACCGATTTACAAGATGGCCAGGCCAGAATGACTGCACCTCTAAATGGCGCGGTAGAGGCGAATTGGTAACTGCGTGGCCGCGAAAGTTATCAGGCCATGGAGATGCGAGTCTTAATTCGCGAGGCTGTTACACTGCCCAGGAGTATGACATACCTACTTGCTAAAAGCATTCCATTTGCGTGCCTGTACGAACCCGATGCTACCGCGGGGAACGGACACCGTGGAGCGAGATGTTAGCTGAAAGCGCACATTTAAGAGCGGAAGATAATGCTGTTTTCCTCGTAGCTTGACAGAACGGGGAAGTTAAAAATCGTGATGACATTATATGTGAGCCGGAGACAACGGTGTCGTGTTAACGGTGGCAGGAGCACTCGATATATAAATTAAGTGTAGTGTCTTCTGAGCCAGTAAAGTCATTGCAATGAAAGTAACGATGACCAAGGAAATACATTCATGCGAATTGTGAAAATGGCGAGCAATAACAAATACGATAAGCCCTCAACTAGCCGAGGCAGCCTCCAGATAGTAAGGGAAATAAGGGGCTACTCGGCATGAGACAATATGATAAAATGACGGGTATTTTCTCCTTTGTTTTCAAGCGACCAGAATGTCATTTGCTTCTTGCCGGAGCTAAAGGAAGCAGAGTAAAGGTCTTGCCCGGGTATCCAGCCAAGAACTGGCCATCTCCGAGGTCCGACAGGCTAGCTGGAAATCTATGGAACAGCAGTCGTTACTGGCTCTAGGCTGGCATCACCTCCTCAGGCAATGCAACAATCTACGTGATGTTTCTCAGGAGTCCATTGGAATCATCGCTGACAATCGGGCCGTGCCCGTACGGTCTCTATACGCTGCCCCGTAACTTGAGTTGGTTAGGGCCGGAAGACAGACTGACCCGTGGGCTTTAAAATTAGCTTTAAGGACTCCCTCGATAAAAATCTGTTAATGAGCATCGTGGGGTTTGTTTGTCATAATATTAACTTTTCTTCGAGTGGATAGTATAATCATGCCGACGTAGGGAAACATCTTTGCAGAACGTCGTACGAGTAACATTGGTCATGAGACATGTATGGAAATGCTGAGTCTTAAGTTTTTTAAATATTTTTTGTGTCTTTTTTGCCTACAACTAGAGTAATAGACAAAGGTTGTCAAAAATAATGGGCTGTTTGAAACCATTCCCGGGTTTCTGTTTTGTCTTTGATTTTTTTTTCCCTTGTTTCTTTTTGAGTTGTATCATATCCTTCCTCTTTTGCCCAAGTGAAACTTCACTCCTTTTTTAATTTACAAGGAAGCTTTGCTCGCCCATCATTGGAGCCCTCTCGCGCACCCGAAATCTAGAGAGAACAAAAACACAAGTGCCCCGAACAAAAAAGCAAACAAAGATCGGGCAAGACACGGGATACAGGTACAAGGATGCAAAGGAACTATAAGAGCCATACTTACATGGCAGATCAATCCGACCACCATAAATACAGCAGTCTTGTTCGTTCATGCCAGCAGTCAAAGCCATGCCTTGGTCCGTTGCAAATTCTGTTCTCCCATTCCACACTCTCTCGCCGTTGCTCTAATTCGCCGCTCTTTCCATTCATCGCTCTTCCCAAGAAGTCCATCACGACTTCCGCCGCTTAGTAGCCGAAAGCCTCGAGGGCCTTGGCCGTCTTGGGATCGACCTTGGCGTTCTTCTTGGCCTCGGTCAGTTGCCGTGCGGCAACCTTCTTACGCTCATAATAAGCAGCGCCCTTCGCTTTTCTCCGCTCCTCAAGTCTGTTGTAGAACGTTTCGTCAGCAAAGATTGATTTCGCAAAAGTATGGCTCCAACGAGTTGCGAAAGGAAATCTCCTCGCATGAACAAAATACACACCTGGCAACAACATCCTGATACTTCCAGCCAACCTCGTGGCTCAACCGGCCGACGGTGCAGTACTTGCGGCCAGGCTGCAGTCTCAGGACTCGCAAGGCCTGAGGAACGACCATCTTCTTCTGCTTGTCATACGGGGGCGGGACTCCCTCGAAAACCTTCAGGCGTTCGAGAGCGGCGGCACCGCGGGCGGTCTTGTGCGGAATCATGCCGCGGACAGCCTTGTAGAAGATGCGCGAAGGAGCGCGGAAGTGGAAAGGACCACCGCGAGTCGGGTTGTAACGAGTCATCTTGCGGAGGTAGGAGTGGTACTTGACTAAACAGAAAGAATGATACAATCTTAGTAAATTCTCGTAAAAATGTGTCTTGACCGGGATGGGTAAGAGGGTGGTGGTGGCATACGCTTAGCGCGAAAGAACTCGCCAGAAATGTTCAGAGCCTCACAGCGTACAACGACAATCTTCTGGCCGTTCAGCAGCTGCTTAGCAACGATGCTAGCCAGGCGGCCCAGCAGATGGCCCTTGCCATCAATGACAACCTATTTAAAAACCAAGTCAGCAAATCTGGTTGACGTTTGCAATATCGCTATCGGCTCCCTCCACTGCAAAATCAACGTGTCTCCCCCTGTTGATCGTTTTCCATCATCGCTAGATCGTTGCAGTATGCATTGTTCGCGATATGTGCAGTTCGGTCGAATGTGGCAAGCTCAACTGGAAATGTACCGTGCGAAGAACGGCAGAGTCAAACATTCAATTGTTCGACTTTTTAGTCCTTAGTTGAGCATAAACCTTCCTCGGGACCTGATGTTCCAATGTTCCTTCGCCCGAGAATTGACAACGCCATGTCGTGAACCGTGGCCACATTTGTACAGCCGATTCGCTTCGAAATGTAGAGATGCCACTAGAAGTAGAGGCAGCAACACACAGCGATGCGCAGTGTAGGCACAAAAGCAGGCAACACTTACAACAGATTCGAAGCTCGACATTTTGTGTGATGTGGTTATCGGCCGCAGTAAAGCGGGCGTGCCGGGGACGATAGAATCGAAAGGGGAAAAGAAAAAGAGAGAACAGACTGGTGATGAGTCTGCCTAGTTTTTCTTGTGCTGTTGTCGACGCTCGACGTTATTAATGTCCTTCGTCGGTGGACTTCGATCGTTGTCGAAGGGGGTTGCTGGGTGGTTGATGTCGTTGATTATCGCGAAAGCCTGAGGAGGAGAGAGAAGGACGAGGAAAAGAAAATGCCAGTCCACTTTCACACACAGAAAGTGATGGAGGGCTCAAAAAAAATGATAGAGAAAATGCTAGCCACCACCAATAGAAAAATTAATCCCAAAATTCTGCTGCGCCGCGGATTTTGGCTCTTGGTGTGGTGCTTTCTAGACTAGGGCTGGTTGGCCGTTCTAGGTCTCCTGAAAGAAGTAAGCCGAGCCAAAAAGAGGGGCGAGTGGAGGTTTACAGCACTTAGGGCTCTCCAACCTGATCATGTGACACAAATACTGCTGAGTCATGATCATGAACTTGAAAAGCCCACGTGATGACATCTATCGTGATATTGACCAAACACAGCAGCGACCAAGGCAGGATTTGCATTTTGACTTCAGTCGCGCACTGCGCTCGTCAATGTAGAGCTTTTAATAGTCACCGTCAGTAATAAACTTGCTCAATCAAATAACAAAATACATGTGGTTTCAATCAGATTATGTAACATGGAGGGGTTGCCGGTACAGAGTATGCGCAGTATGCTTAAAGAAGAAGCAATATCAAACATTAACCTAAGACAGCTTCAGAAGAAACAAAACGGATGCCTTCCTATTCGCCCTTGTGCCACTTTTAATTGGCTAGGCCCAGCTCATGAGGAAGGCTTGATCTTGGAGTCCACATCTTTTAAGACGTCCTGCACTTTGTTAACAAGCGCTTTGCGCTTCGCGCGTGTCGCATCCTCGCCGCCAGTGCTCACAGCGTCCAACTTCAAGAGAACATGCTGGAAAACGGTCTCAGAAATTTTCGCGTGCTCGTCAGCTCTCTTCTTAGGATCGGATGGCGGATTCTGAACGAATTCCATACACAGAGGTAGCAGGTGCGACTCGAAGTGAGCGTCGATACTGTTTAACTGATCCATGGCTGAACCCTGCGTGGTCTTGGGTGGCACAATATTGGAGATGTTGGAGGTGCGGGAATCACCCGATACGCCAGAGGCCCCCGACGCTGCGGAGTGTGCGCGGCTTGATGGGCCGGATTTTTGATCAGGTCGTCCACGTCGCGGCACCTCCAGGTTGCCAGTGGACGAGGATGGTCCGGCCTGCTGTTTCGGACTGCGATCCGGTCTCGCCGGCTTACCCTTTTTCGTTGGTGACTTGGTTTTCGCCTCGAGTTCCTCACCTGGGAGTACAACCAGGAGCTCGCTGTTGTTTTTGACGCCGTCCACGCAGACCGGTTGCTCGTCATTCTTCAAAATCTTTCCCTTGTAGTACAGTTTGATGTGCTTCGTTTGCGCGTCGGACAAGTCGTAAAGTAGCTGCAAACGATCCCGGACATCTTCGGTAAAGAGCTTGCCATCACCAATGGAGAAGGCGGGGAAAAACTCTTCCTTGACTTCGTTGCCATGGCGGAGTAGCAGTATGTCCTCCTGGGGAATATCGTTGAGGTTGTCGTCATTAGGCGGGCGGAAGTAGGATCCGCCCGTGCGGCTACCCGTGACACCATATTCAAAAGGCGACGACTGGGCGCCGAGGTTGCGGTTATGGAGGTCGTCCGATGTTATGTACTCGTAGTCGTCGTCGGTCACATCTGGCACACCCTCGTTGCTCAGCGTCGAAGTGAACGGAGACAGCTGCTGGCCAGTCGACCAGCCGTAACGCCGCATGCCGTCTTTTTCTGCTGTCCCTCCTGCTTTTGCCTTTTTGGCGGCTTTCCGCTTTTTGTTGCGAGAGAGCTTGGGGCCCTTGGTTGCGGAGGTTGGTTTCGACGCCGAGATCTTGAAGGAGGCGATGGTACGTGCGGCCGCTCCTACAAGAACAGCACCGGCAACGGTGCTATAAAGGGCAGTCGGCGGGACGCCTGTGGTGGAGTAGATGTAGGCGGTTGAGTTGGCGATGGCGGTCGCGACTGTGTCAATGGATGAATCGAGATACGTTTGCAAGCTAGAAGGCAACTTTGGCAGCAGGGCTGACGTGATGTTGGCCAGGCTGGCAAATGGGGCACCCAATGATGCCGCGGCAGCGGAACTGGAAGCCACTTTGGCGAGTGGTTCGGTCCCTTAACAGGACACGATACGCATACCGTGTGGGAAAAACTTGGGAGTGTGCTAGGAAAGAAAAATGGGAGGTCAAGGAATAGAATGTTCGCAAGTAAATGTCGTCTGTGGCGCGCCGATGTCCTTTTTTTCCTGAGGAGTGATCCGCTGTTCGTTGTGCTTGGGCAGCACGCGTCGTTCTCGGCGGTAGAACGTGGTTGGACGATAAAAAATGGTGGGTGGTTGCGCAGACCCCACGTGAGATGGAGTGGACAACGGGTAGAGGCTGATGCGTGCGTTGGGCTGCTGGATCACAAGAGAGGAAGGATGTCCTGTTGTGGACTTAGTTGATGAGAAGACGGAGAAATAAAGGGGAGAAATCAGATTTACTGTTGGCGTAGCGCCATTGACGATAGGCTTGGTTGGTTTTAAGTAGATCAGAATGCGACGACCAGCAATGCGTTTGAGTAGTTTCCTGTTAATGGCTTGCGAGGCAAGAAAAAAAGAGTGAAAATGTACATGAACAACAAGCAGAACAGCACAAAAGCTAAGTCCTAAGTATATCAAACAGAGCAGCCGGTTTGCTAGGTGACCATAGTTAAGCTGGGCAAGCTGGGTTGCCCAAACCGATTGGTTGGGCCTGGTCATCAAACGGGCCAGTCCACTGCGCTACGGGCCTCAACAAAGCTGCAATTAGAAGATCACATGACCACCGCGACCGACGCATAATGACTTGCCGAACTGAGTACAGTTGCGTACGGCATCCGTCATCGTTTTCATTATAATGAGCGCGGAATGGGGCAAAGAAAGAACCACAACGTTTAATGTGCAGAACGAATGTTTAGCATCTTTCTCCTGTCCGCGGATGCCAGCGCCTTGAAAAACAAAACAATGGAGTGCGCTCGCCAAACAACATCCTACTACTAAGGCCTTGTAGATGACACTATCGTCTCGTGTTTCTTGCACCCTCGAAATAAACCATAAACATATTTGTTACCGGCTGGTTATTTCACGCTTGCTACAGTTAATATTACAATATGTCTCCTGCTGTATGACTAAGAGTATACGTGACTTGGAAAGGCCTTCTGTTTGGTCGGGCAGACGATGCGAGAAAAAGTTACTACGAGATAATGCGACACTCCTCTCGCCAGCCCATGCCGTCAGGGATATCCGCCCTCGAGCTGCCAAACATATAATGGCTCTCTTTGTAAGAAA